AAGAGATTTTGTTCTAGGGTTTGTAAAGAGTGGAAACCCGTAACATTGTTATAATCAATTGTAGCCGATAGTTGTAGATTGTTGAATAAACCAATTAACGATCTCTACGGCGTCTTCAGTAACGAGGAAACACGTTACATTGGTGTCAGAAGTGGGATACGAACCTACACTCGTGACCGACGAGATTCGATCTCAAGCCGATAGTTGTAGATTGTTGAATAAACCAATTAACGATCTCTACGGCGTCTTCAGTAACGAGGAAACACGTTACAATATTTATCTTCAACAACAGGAACCATTCTTCGTCATATGTTCGTCTGTATCTTGGTGGTTCAGTTCCCTAATGTGTCACACTCTTCCAGTGCAAATGATAACAGTTATTCTTACCTGTTGAAACTTGTGTCAGGTAGTTGATCTGTTCAGTAAGTTTGGATTCAACATGACCTAAAGTCTTCAGAAACTGATGAGTCTGGCTTTCTGCTTGTTTCAGACTGGACTTTTCTTTACTTAGTTCAATAAGTGCTTGACCTGAAATAAAGAATAATGTCACATAACTGAGTGACTAGAGATGGGGTCTGGATTGGTAATTGGATTTATTGGACTCACACAACTTGTTACTACACTTTACAGTTCACTATTACACACATACTAGTGTTTTCCCAGTCTGTTAAGAGTCTCTGTTACAGTCTTCAATAGCTGTTGCTTGGTAGTGGTTCCCAATGGCGGACATTCCCCTTACTCTGGGTTCCCACACTACCCCTGGCTTCAGCTACAGCAGCTCTGAACTGACTGGCTCTACTCCACTAACTTGCCCTGCTTATAACATCTTGACAAGGACTGCACAGAAAACACTGTTCCTCTGTTGCATTAATGCCTGTTGGGATGCCCATGTGATTGCCACTCATCCACTGCCACTTATATTGTGTTCATGTTGCTGATGATATAGCAGTCCTCATAAACGGAAAATTCCTTTTGACAGTATCAGAGCGTCTTCAAACAGCTCTGTACATGGTCCAACGATGGTGGGAAAGAACAAGTCTTTACATCAATCCTAATAAGATGGTAATTATACAGTTTACCAGGAAGAGAAATATAAAGGGCCTTAAGGAACCGACCCTCTTCAATAAAATGATCCAGCTCTCTAGCGAAGTCAAGTACCTTGGTCTAGTATTAGACAAGGGACTGACATGGAAAAAGCAGCTGGAAAAGGTCATCAATAAAGCCTATAAGGCTTTTTGGACATGCAGAAGCATGTTTGGTAAAACTTGGTGACTGCAGCCACACGCTGTGCATTGGATATACATTATACACTGCGGTTGTAAGACCCATAATTACATATGGCGCCACAGTATCGTGGCCCAGAGTTAAACTCAAGACAAGCAAGGCAGAACTTAGCAAATTGCAAGGGTTGGCTTGCTTGGGTATCACAGGATCAATGCAAATATCTCTTAACAGCTGCACTGGAGACACTCCTAGGACTCCCCCCACTGCATATACAGTTGGAGGCAGAGGCCAGTGCAGTGATCAATGGAAACCTAGATCCGATAGTTTCAGACATGCATACATAACTCAGGACATGAAAAAAAGAGCCCATATTAAAAATGGGGTCTGACAAAATGATACTGAGACATGTATATGAAAAACCCTTCACAGTCAAGATTTCCTGACAGGAATGATTGGGAAGACAGATTTTGGCCCGATAGAAAAGGGGGACTGATCTGGTATACAGATGGTTCCAAGATAAATGAGAGCACTGGAGCTGGTGTGTACTGCTATGGCACGAGGTGGAAACTTAGTTTCAGCCTTGGGCAGTACATGACAGTATTCCAGGCAGAAGTATATGCCATTAAGGCATGTATTATGGAGAATTTAGATAGGAACTATAGAAATAGTTATGAGACGTGGGACGAGACATTTAACAGTGATGATGTTGATACTGGATATAATTCATTTCTGAACACTTTTTTGAGAGTTTTCTATGCCAGCTTTCCATTAAAAATGGTAACAAATAATAGGACTAAAAATAATAACTGGATAACTCCAGCCATAAAAGTTTCTTGTCAACACAAAAGGGAACTTTATCTACTTTACAAAAACAATAAAAACTATAAAATAAAAAAGCATTACAAGTTGTACTGTAGAATATTATCTGATGTAATAAAAGCAGCTAAAAGGCTTCACTATGATAGATTAATAACAAAGTTAAGTAATAAAATGAAAACTACATGGAATATTGTTAAATCTATAACTGACAAGAAAACTGAGAGCAAGGTAATTCAATCTATAGACAATGGTAATGCTATAACACAAAAGAATCAACAAGAAATAGCCAATGCCTTTCATAACTACTTTCTCTCTGTAGCTGACAAAATAAAATCCAACATCAATAGTAAAGATAACTGTGATAATGAATGTATGGATTACCTATTTAGAGTCCTTAAGAATCCCTTTCCAAACTTAATTTTTGACTGCACATCGACTAAGGGGATTGCTAAAATTATTAAAGCCCTTAAACCTAAAAACTCATCTGGATATGATGAAATTTCTCTCAAAATTTTAAAAATAAGTTCTCCTTTTATTGCTGCCCCACTCAGTCATATCTGCAATAGATCAATTTTATCAGGTAAATCAGGCGAATGAAATATTCTATAATACCGCTATTCAAAAAGGGCAACAAAAAAGATATTAAGAATTATAGACCTATTTCACTATTAACATCCTTTTCTAAAATATTTGAGAAAGTTATTCATGCAAGAATCTTAGAACATGCAATTAACAATAATATATTATCTACAGAACAGTTTGGGTTTATAAGCAACTCCTCTACACAGAAAGCAACGTTCATCTTAGTAAATGACATTCTGCAGGCATTAAATAATAAGTCTTGGTGGGGATATTTTTTATGATTTAGAAAAAGCCTTTGATCGTGTCAACCACGACATTCTATTGAAGAAATTGGAATTTTATGGAATTGTAGGCAGTGCTAATACACTAATGAAATCATATCTTAAAGACAGGTATCAACGTATCATTAGGGGTATGCAGTAGCGTAGTGGTTCAGGTACTATGCTACAAGCTGGAAGGTCGCGGGTTCAAATCCTGATGAGGTCATTGGATTTTTTTCAATTGATCTAATCCTTCTGGCTGCACTAGGCCCTGGGGTTTACTCAGCCTCTAACAGAAATGAGTACCAGGAATTAATTATATGATTTTCCTGGGGAGTGAAGCGCGGCCAACACATAAGGTTGACAACCTTACTGCCATCTTTGAGTCGACTGTCAAGGTAATGTGGGACCCTTAACGTCTCACAACCCTATGGGCCTTCATGGCCTGTTACAGGGATAGCTTTACTTTTTTACTTTACTTTATCAACGTGTCATTGCTAAAGATAATTTAGCACAAGGAAATGCTACCGTGAATTGGGCCAAGATTTTTTTCTGCTTTTTCTGCTTTATATAAATGACCTACCTAAAGTTGTAAATACATTTTCTCAACCTATTCTTTTTGCTGATGACACTAGTGTTACTGTTAATAATACTAATTGTATAAATTTTAAAAAAGACCTTCTCTTCTCATTTGATCAATTAAAATNCAATAAACATCAGTTATAACAATAAATGTATCGGTAATAACACAGAGACAAAAGTCTTAGGTATTACTATTGATGATTCCCTGTCTTGGGAAAACCATATTCATGGTCTCAAGGTAAAATTATGTAAAGCCTCCTATGCAATTATGACACTTAGACCCTTTGTATCACTGGAATCCTTGAGGATGATTTACTTTGCTTACTTTCACAGCATTATGACGTATGGGTTAATTTTCTGGGGGACTTCTTCTTATAGTGGCAGTATATTTAGACTACAAAAAAGGGTAATAAGAATTATCACTAATTCAAGAAATAAAGACTCATGTAGAGACATATTACCATTATATTCCCAATTCATATTTTCATTATTAACTTTTGTTATCAGATAATAGAGAATTACTTAAAACTAACACAGATTTGCGTAGTATAAATACCAGGAGCAAAAATAATTTTCATTTTCCACAACCAAGATGTCTATCTATCAAAGAGGTGTTTATTATATGGGCATTAAGATTTTTAATCGGCTTCCATCCTATTTGAAAGGCATCAAAGACAAGAAGAAACTGTTTAAATCTTCATTAAAAAAGTACTTACTAGAAAATTCCTTTTACTCATTGCAGGAGTTTTTTAACAATAAATAAAATGGTATATTCTATTCCCTTTGGTATTTGTGATACTATATACTTATCACAGTCATTGTGAGTAATTCTATTTTGCCTCTGCTTACTTTTATTTTAAGTTTTAGGTTTTTATTAAACTAATTAGAAAGGACCAGTAATCAATGTTACTAAATGTAAAATGTTTTATAGGGCTCTTGCTGGCTCTTACTTAATATACTTTTATGCTAATCATATACATTAGCATTTATTGACTGATTTATTTTCCAATTCACAACATATTATGTTGAGTTGTTTTGATTTGTAATTGTATGACTGACTCTTTAATATTCAAAGCATGCGTAGTATATTCTTTGAGTATTTGGCGTATTGTATATCTGTGACTGGTTCTATATCAGACTGGCGACATTTGTAGCCTGTTCTTGATTGATGGAATATTACAGCAAACTGAAACTGAAACTCTCTTGACACATTTGGAGGTTAGGTAGCAAGGAATGCTCTGGACGAGGGATAGTTCTTGCCCACTCTTATAAAATCTGTTCTCCTGATGAAACGGACGGGTTTTGAAAAATCTTAATGAGCACAATGAAGATCAGTCCTAAATACTATCACAAATTATTTTAGTATGCCATACCTGCACTCTGCAGACATGTTATAATATCTTTCTCAATTGAATCCAAAACCTGTATTCTTTCCATTGGGGCCGTCATTGTTACAGTATCGAAATTAATTTTTCTATATAACACGTGAACAGTGTTTAACAAAATTACAAATATAGAAATTAATTTAACACTTCATAGTATTCCTTCCATGCAATCACACATTGTCTTGAATACTGTGCGCGACTGTGCGTGACCAACTTTGATAAGTTTGATAATATCTTAAGATTGTTGTATTTTTACATCAGGGTTGGTCATGGATGATCAAAAACCAAGGACAGTTTGTTACTGACGAGAAAAAAAGGAATGAATTTGTCGATTTTACGAATAAAAAGCAGCCATAAATGTGTAATTGTGAGTGAAATACTTTGCTTCCTGCGTCAGTTTAACTGAACCCATGAAAGTTTCATTTGTCAGACGTACACAGAATTGATTAAAGTATGATTTAATTCGTGACACAGGAAATTCTGTGAAGGTCTTTAATACAGGAAGAAGGGTTAGTGACAATGAATTGCTTAGTCGTGTAATTCAGGTATTGTCTAATATATGCAGCTCTGCATATTAATTACAACTAATAAGTGACGTACCATTATAATGTCGATAGTGTGTCAATTCGCTACCCATACAAATAATAAATATATTTTAAACATTCAGAAGGTAAAGTGATCCCTATACTTTAAATATACTTTAAATATTAAGCATTATGCCATGAAAGCATATGGGGGAGTTGAAATATTGACAAGTCTGCTTGAAATTGTTTATATTCCGTATATATTAAAAAGAGTCTAACCTGCATTTGTTTGGCTTAAAATATTTTCAATGATTACTTGTTTATAGGATGCATATTTTTTTTGTTGGTTTTCACTCATTGTTGTTTGACATCTAGGTTCATTCTTCTGTCGTCTGCCACATGAAGAATCACATTCAGATATAATTTAACGATGACCTCTGTGTGGAAACGGCTGCAGAGGGTTAACAAGCATGCTGCAAAATTCCAGTTCACAGTTTCTTATCATCAGGTGACATTAGAGACAACTTTAAAATGGTAAATCCCGACATTTGTTTCTTTTGTGTAGGTAAGGTAAAAGTAAAGTTCTCCCAGTGCATAATTAATTAAACACCATGCCATGGAAATATATGGGAGACCTGTAGGTGTAGCTCCACACATTCTTAACCTTGGCACTAGGTGGATACGAGTGGTCAACTTCATGCCTCACCCACTTTATGCCTTCTCCAGGAAAGAACCCCTGATACCCATTGGATAGGAGGCTAAGTGGCCCCCAAGGCTGGTCTGGACACAGTGGAGGAGACAGAATGTGTTTCCTTTGCTGGGTATCGAACCTTGATTCCTCAGCTGTCCAGCCCACAACCCAGTTGATGTACAAACTGATATATCCCAGTTTACTCCTTTATGTAGGAGATTGAACAAATAGGTGTATACTTCACCAAATTTTTGTATCTAATAATTGTTCAGTCACCGGTTCAAAGGCAGTAGACATTACAAAGCTGTAGTCAATAATCAGTATAAAATTGTGTAGAAGTACTTAGAATTAAGTGACAACTGTAGCTGTACAGTTGTTATTATGACAATTATGTTAAACATTAAACATTAGATTTAGTTTTTGTATGTCAAACCAGAATGATGTTTACTGTCTCTATTTATTCAGTTTTGATCATACACTGTGAAATGTTAACATTTAGTTACTGAATAATAATGCAAAAGTATACAGCTGTTTATTAAAGAGCAGTTGTACTCAGTATTCAGGGGTCGACTGCTTGAATCTCGGCTGGAACAGCTGTCATGGTTTTCATCACTCTCTCCAGGCAGATGCTGCAATAGTACATTCAGTTATGCCATGACCACTTCCACATGTTTTCTGATTCAATACTGACATTCGATGCAGTATAGTCTGAAGTACTGACATCATTGTTAAATGAAATGAACTGTCTGTTGAATAACTTGTCATTGGTATCATATTGCTCCATTCTGAACTGTTTAAAATATTTCCATTATAGGAAACCTAATAAATTGAGTGTTGTCTGGACTAGACGTAGTCGCAGGGTCACTTCTGAGCCATTACCATGGGAACCAACAATGAAGGATCCCTTGAGAGGAGTTGTAGTATGGGCAGTGCCAGAGAATAAGGAAGTTTCAGTCACCTTATTCAAAGATGCTAGAACCCAGGAGATGGAAGACAAAGAGTGGACATTTGTTATTGAAGATGTAAGGAGTAGCCTGTAATAATTGATTTTGTGCGACATTTCTCATGTTGAAGGAAGGAGAGTCCCAAAGTGTGGCACATGGAAAGAACAATGAATGTTCCTGGAAGGTTTCACCATAAATTGAAAGAGTTTCATATTTTAAACTGTCAAATTTGCAATACCTAAATCTTCACCTTTCTTCCATTTAACCTTTATCGGACGGGCCATTTAATTTCTGGTAGGGGCAGCTGGACGGAGTTTATTTAAATGCCCGCCCTTCTAGAGCAATGAAATTGTAAGCATGTATCTAAAAATGGTGTGATTTCTACATTTTTTATGATAAACGAACGAAATGAACGCTCCTTTAATGTAGAAAGAATATAGAATCAGATATTCTAATTTACAGATTTTAATATCTGTAAAAATTTTTTACACTGATTCCCAAAATAAAATTTCCCGAAATTCATACATTTTCTGCACCATGCGATCTAGCAGTGTAATACATTTTCTGCACCATGCGTTTTAGCAGTGTAAGTCCTTGTGGCGACTTCACATTCAATGGTATCTCTTGTTGTAGCTTATTTATCATATGGGACATGTCGCTATGCACGACTGTAGGCGTCTGAATTTCCTCGCTGCCTAATGTGTTAGATAAACACAGAAGTTAATTCTCGGAATATGGTGTTGCCAGATCGGTCATTCGTTCATTCATTGCAGTCAAACCATTGTGTTTGTAACGATTTTGAAACATCGCAATATAAGGTTAGCCACCCATGACATCATGAAGCAGATATTGGGTTCAGAGAAGTCGTGAATGAGATTTTTGTATGTGTGGGCTCGAGGTTAAGATTTATGGCTTCTTATCGTGGTCTAAGCACAGAGATTCACTGCTAGCACTGCTAGAGAGCCACACGACGTCGTATGGAAAATGCTGAAATGAGAAACACCTGTTCAATGACACAGATTCGGACTGCTATTCAACCGATTCTGAATGTGGCGTGGAAGGTTGGTCTTCTGATGCCTGAAATTGAGAAAACAGCTGTTCAATGACACAGATTATGAGAGGAGCGAGCAAAGTTGGAATTCTGATTCCGCGGACGACGGGTCATCACCTTCGTCGGCAACTTGGGGACCGCCAGACCAGTGTGGCTGGAGAGGTGTGAATAATTATTCCGGTGTAGCTGCGGGGATAAATATCGCTGCAGCTCGACATCACTGGCCTGCTTCCTCTAAATCGCAACTGAGGTGTCATGTGTGCTTTTTGCGTGGGAAGCGGGCTAGTGTTTGTACGAAGTGCGTGAGCTGCGACGTCGGACTCTGCATTTCGGAATTTTTTGGGCAGTACCATACGAAGGCCACATTACCATAGATGACGCAGGGGGGAAGGCTGTTTCCTCATGAAGATGGTGAACATATATCACGTAAGTAGAGCAAAAATTTAATTTTAAAAAAATCTTTACACGCGTGCAATGCGCGAAATCATATGAGGTCGTTCGGCCATATGACGTCGGTAGATTACATTAGATCACGCAGGAGGGAAGGCTGTCACCTTATAAAGGTTGTGACCAAAAATTATATAAATAGAAGAACAATTTATATTTTAAATATAATTTTAAAAAAAATCTTAACACGCGTGGAATGCGCGACATCATATGATGTCGTTCTTAAATTTGTCCTTACTTTTAACGTCATATGACGTCCCTAGATTAAATTAGATCATGCAGGAATGAAGGCTGTCTCCTTATAAAGGTGGTGACCAAAAATCATGTAAATAGAACAACAATTTATATTTTTAATATAATATTAAAAAAAACCTTACATGCGTGGAATCCGCGACATCATATGATGACGTTCGGCCAGCTGCCCTAACTTTTAACGACGTCATATGATGACGTTCATCCGATAAAGGTTAAAATAATTTGTTCATAAAAATAAAATTGTTATTTCAAAAACTGGAAAATAATATGTAAAATACAGCCCAGTTCGTTTGACATTAAATAGATGTGAGGTCGGTGTCATTAAATAATAATTGTTTACAGAAAATAAAATTCTCAGTTCTAAAGTGTTCTGTTGGTGGTATGCTACAGTTAATTTAACTGGATGGTATATGGATTTTGTCCATTCTCATCTGGAACAGAGGAAGCTTGATATGTTTCTTCAGATGGAAAAGTAGGGAAGTACCTACTCAACCACTTGGGTGAACCAATTTACTGCCATGTTGCCTGCCATATTAGTGCTGTCAATCATAAAAGTTCATTTGTAGAAACAAGATCAAAGGCCTAATTTTAGAATTCGCCTCCAGTATGTCTTTGGGTTTTTTTTTATAAATAAACATCTGGGTTTGGCATATCTAATATGGCTGTAAATTCTTAAAAATGTACTTGATCACTCTTTAATACGCAATAGGTGCCTTCAATCAGTTGGGTTCATTAGACTGAGCTAATGTTTATAGTGGCTTACATAACACAGTAATGACCTGGGTCATCCAGTAGTTCAGGTAAGGTTGTTTTAAAGGGCCCAGCCAAGTTTGTATTTCCCTTTCCTTACCATCTGAGTATCAGAACAATTAAATTTTCTGTTAAAAATATTTTTTGATGGACAAATCCCAGAAATTTAATAATAGTAAGATTTTAAATGTTATGATGTCCTGTGCGATTACAGTTATCACACCTCAAAATGCTGATATTTAACTTAATATATTGAAGGTATCACCTAATGGGAAGAGAAGACAGGTAGCAGCAACCAACATAAACATGCGGAAGTATGCTAGCATTGAGTCATCTCAGCACCAGCTGATGCTCACATTTAAACCGACTACTAAGAAGATAGTTGGTGCCACAATGGAATGTACCTTATCATGCGTTCTGTTACGAGAAGGAAAGGCAACGTAAGTAACATTTCTGCTTTAATTCTCACCTGTCCTCTGTAAAACGATCTTCTGGCATTGACATTTTCCCATACAAGTTCACTGTCATAAGTTTTCCAGTACCTTACCTTTATAAGAAACAGTTTTCCTCGTCTTCTTCCTAGACCAGCCAAAGTCCCCCTTTTTAGGGCCACTGAAACTCCTGTCCTTGTCTCCTACTGGTTCGCTTTGTGGCCATGTGAGAGCCCAGCAGTTTCTTTCTGTCCTGCAGTGAGCCAACGAGAACTGAAGTCCACTCTCCTCCTTATATGATCCAAAATTTTCAGCCAGCTGACCACTGGGCTTGCCACCTGATTTCACGCTGGTATCAAGCTCGGCTTATTGGACCCTGAAGATGGTTGACTTTCAGCGGACTACATGGCATTATATTCAACAGAAAGAAAGGCTGTCAATACATTCTTCTTTCTGCTCAACAAGACTTTTCGATTTGTTCTAACTGATTTTATCCACTTACTCTTTTGATATGCACAACTTATTTGAACTGTACTATTTGGTCTTAATTTCTGTAATTATTATACATCAAATGCCCTTTGTGGTACTACAGTAATAATCTGATATATGTGAAGTAGTTCCCTTGTAGTGTTGGCTGTGTCTTATGATGATGGTGAGTAATGGCTGAAACATGTAAAGCAAAACTTTTACTTGCCCCTGTTAAACAAGTTACACTTGATGGATTTCTGCTCTTTACTCATCTTTATGTAATATACTACTAATTACAAATTTTTCGTAACACTGTAATTGTGTGCTGTGTGCTACTTTGTTGCTCTTGCATTCATGGACGTGTATTTGTTTTCCATGCTGAAGTGCCTTCTTTATCAAAATGTTCCTGCCAATTGATTTGTGACTGGTAGAGTGAAGTTGGAAATAGAATGGATAGAGAAGAAGGCAGTGCATAACCCATACTGTTTGAAATGTTGCTAGTCAATATAGTGAATGACTGTGGTAATGCTAGAGAACCGCGTACACAGAGGCCAACTGCACTTAATTAACTGACACTTATTTCTTTATTTTATGTTCAGAGATGAAGATATGCAAAGCTTGGCAAGTCTGATGAGTGTCAATAACAATGACATTGCTCCTCTTGATGATTTTGATGAGGATGAAGATGTTGAAGGTAAATGTAATTGTGTTATGATTAACTGGTTTCTTTATCGTCTCTGTTATATTGTTTTTTAAATCTACTGCATGCACAAAAATGAGTTTTGGAGGTCTTGTGGGATGTGACACCACATAGTCTGGTACGTTGTTACCCACATTTCAGGGTACCTTGAAGATAAAAGCTCTTTCAAAACATGAAGAACTATTGACCAAACTACATGACATCACATCTCAGAACATCGTACTCTTCGTAATTACTGTAATGAGAACCTTGGTGTTCAGTTAGAATGAAACTTATCATAAGTTGCTTGTTTCTTGCCTTTCCCAGATTATTTTCTTCATGTTAAAATGTTTGTAGTATTACCACTTGTAAGTGCTGTTTGTTTGTTTCAGATATTAGTCAGAAGCATCAAGAAGTGTTGGACTTAACATCACAAATTGACTTATTGACGAGCAGTCTGAGTGGGTCAGAAATCGCCAGTACACCAATTAGTGGTATGTTGACTGTTACAGCTACAAATCTTGCTGCTGCTGTTACCAGCGCCACTGCTCACTTTCGCACTGAGCAAGTCAGCTAAAGTGATACCGCTTCTGACCTATGTTAAGGAGATGCTTTGTGCAAATATCAGCCAGGTTGATGACAATCCTGACTGAGGATTTTTGTGGTTTTCCTCAGCCCCTGCAGGCAAATGGCAGCATTCTACCTTAAATTGACCATGACCTCTTCCTTTCACATCTTTTTCAATTCATTATTCACCAGTTATCTTACCACTGAGTCCATGTGTTCTGAGCTACTGATGGCATTTTTATGTAAACCATAAGCTAATAAATAGCACACTGCTACCACTGCCTGTAGAAATCGTCACCTTTTCATTTTGGTTATTGGAGTTACTTCTCCAAAATGAATGATTATTTCCTTGGGTGGATTTTTTTTTTTGGTGGGAGGAGTCAGGGCTTGGGTTCATTTAGAAAATGTAAAGATGACATACTGTGATTTCAACATCCCTTTCCTCGTCACTGAAGTTAGAGTTTATCTGTTCCCTATTATGTATCATTTTATGGGCTATTGTATGTAGATTGAGCTGAACGTTTTTTTTACTGATACTTACATATTAACAGATTATTAGAGCAACTTTAAAATTTGCCATCATGTTGCCCATTGTGTTACTGCTGCCTACCGTAGAAGTTTAATTATAAAAACAAATCCAAAAACCTAACCTTGTGGACATTTTGGAAGGAACTTGTAAGATTAGGTTTTGGGTCTTGTTTATATAAATAATTTCCAGATGTTGACAGTGATAAAATGGCAGACAACATGGTGATAATTTTGAAGTTACTGGGTTCTTCTGTTAACATATAGGTTCCATTTTACTGTGTAACTGAAATGGTATACAAAAGTGGTTATTGGATTTGAGGTTCTCACAACTAACGGACTGCATGATATTGTTCTTCAAAAGCTGCTATTTTTGTTTAAGAAAATATCAGTTCTTATTAGAGGTATGTTTTCGCCACAGAATCTGAGTTTAAATTTGGTAGAGGATTCCAGATTTTTTTTAATACAGATTTTTGTATCTTAACCTTTCAACTTGCTTAAGACCATAGAACAGTCAGGTATTTTCTGAAATTATTGTCATGTGTATGACTGCTGAGGCGGTTTTGGATTTGATATTGAATTTATTGACCACTTTAACACATAACTTATAATTACACTTAATTATAGCACTACCACTGATCAATGCATTTTACAAATCACTGTTACACACTAGTGTTGTGAGTCTGTTACTAGACGTTTCCTGGTAACGGCTTCTAACAGTGGAGATTCTTCAGCTTCCGCATTCACGTCCTCTCTGAACGGCAGTTCCCTTCCATCTGAGCAGTCTTGCAATTCAAAATAAGTCTTCTCTTCACAGACTAATTGGTCAAGCTTTAACCTTTGGTCCTTGCTTATAACATCTTGGCACAGACCATGTAGAAAACACTGTCCCCCTGTTTCATGCATATCTGTTGCTGCGGGACGTGTTTACCAAGCCGTTCCCTAGCAGCGGCCTTGTGTTCTTGCTTATTAAGGATCTGTGGCCTAGCAATCGGCCCTCCATTGTTTGTTTCACAGCTGATGCCTAGAAACAAATGTTGTTTCAGAGCCGCTTGCCAACAACGGTTGTTCACCTGGCTCCGCAATTCTTTGAGTAAATATACCACAATATCATATATTCTTTACCATCACAGTACAACACGTTACTAAATGGGATGGCATACCAGTAATGCTCTAGGCTTTTTATTTGTGAGGCAATTTGAATCTCAACCAGGACACAAGCTATCCTGACTGAGGTGTGTTTTCTTCAGTCCTTCCAGGCATATGCTCAGGCAGTTAGTTGTCTGCTTCTCACCACTGTGGCTCATGTGGGATTTGTAGTGCACAAAGTAGCACTGGTGCAGGTTTCCTACAAGTGCTTTGGTTTCCCTTGCCAATTCTCATTCCGCCATTTGCTCATTGCTCATCTGTCATCTGGGGTTGGTACAATAGGCCAATGAATGGCCAATGTGCCAAGTGAGTTCAGTCTCACCCCATCCCTTAAAATTAAAAAAAAATAGCCTGTTATTGTGATCTTATCCTAAACCTTTAGAATGATCACATTGATTTAAGTGACACAGACAGACTCTTAATATTTTTCATAGCCTTTGCCATCATATACATTCGTCCTTCTAAACTGTGATAATTCTTATCAGTTGCAAGTCTGTCTTCATACCAGAGGGACGAACCTACACCAGTTGCAACAGAAGGTAGAAGTTTCTTGGATGCAGATAACACAGAAAGTTGTGGGGAACCTGGTATTACCTCATTGGCTCAAGATACATTGCCAGAAGAGGTCCAGGGAAGTGGAGGTGTCAGCTGTGAAGATGTACACGCCGAAGATGTGGACAGCAGTTCAAACAATTTTGCACCAACACCAATGTAATTAATGCTCAGTTTCTTGTTGTAGAAATATGCATTAATGGAGAATGAGAATGACTGTCTCATGGTCACAAATGACACACAGAAAACTTCAAGTGGCAAGTAATTTCCCATTTCATGTCTTGATAGTTTGCTTTTGGAGTTCTGTCACATTTGGCACAGATGAAATGGCAAGAGTCCACCGAAAAAAGTTAAGGTCAATGTAATTAAAAATAATTCATCCGTATTTTGAATTGACTTATTTTTCCACTATTTTTTGCTTGGCTCCATGAGTTCAGGACAGACAGTACAACAAGAGGTAGAAATTAATCTTGTTTCCCAATCAAAGGTCAGAGCCACAAGAAGGAGACAGGTAGTAGTGCTCTCTGTATTCCAGAAATATTTGTCGTATTACCAGGTTTTCAGAACATTTGCGATCACTCTACACTGAGACACCAGTTCATCAGCCTTGTATAATGTTAATAATGTTATATTTTAGCGTCCTGTTGCACTGATTCAAGTCCATGATTTATTTCACCGTCTTCTAGTGCATACACTTATTTACTTCACTCTCACTCGCACTACATGTTATTTGTAGTCATACACTTTTGTCTGGTTCCGTTTCTTTGCCGCAGCGTTCCTGAAGGAGGCTCTCGTATTGTGCGTCTCACATTGCAGCCTCTCAATTTACTACAGGTGAGTGTCAGAAACTTTATGAAAATTTTTGTTTGTGTTCAGCCAGTATTTCTGGCCTTATAATTAACACATGTGCTGCCCTTTCAGGCTGATGGAAAATCACTGCGTGCAAAGGAAACAACTCCCGGACAAGACTTGCTAGAATGGTGTAAGGAAGTTACTCGAGAATATCAAGGAGTCAAAGTTACTAACCTAACTACTTCCTGGAGGAATGGCATGGCCTTTTGTGCAGTAGTGCATCATTTCCGCCCAGATCTCGTGTAAGTACGTGCAGACTTGTGCAGCTCCAGCTAAGATAGAGGGCAAACATCTGCACCTTTAATCCATTATTTCCACAAGCATTATCTATGAGCCATATCAAACCTTGAAGCTTCCTTCTGGCAGCTGCTGAAAGTTCTAGTGGTCTAATCATAAATATAAATTGATAAGTAAAGGCCACACAACATGATACAAAAGTAAAAGGTAAAGCTATCCCTGTAACAGACCGTGGAGGCCCATAGGGTTATGAAATGTCAAGGCTCCCACATTTTCTAGACAGTTGGCTCAGATGGCTGTGAGGTTGTCAGCCTTATGAGCTGGCCACCCTTTACCCACAAAAGAATTCCTGGTACTCATTTCTGTTAGAGGCTGAGTTGACTCCAGGATCATTGTACAGCTGGAAGGAGTACGTGAATTGAAAAATTCAGTGACTTCATCAGGAATTTAACCTGCAACCTTCCAGGTTGTAGCATAATGCCTCAACTGGCTATGCTAGTGTGTGCCCCAACACAACATAATGTGGAGAATGCTACCTTCCAGGGCATGGCACTATTTCATCTGATAGAATATTGGCATTTCAGTGGAGCATACTGCCTCCCTCTCCAGGGTGAAAGAGTAGTCTGAACAAGCAGAGTGAGCTGCACATGGCAAGTGTGGTTTGGGTGTGGGCTAGAGCACAGGGAGGTGTAAAGGAATCTGAGGGTGGAAGCAGTACGTGTCAGAGAAATGTCTGAAAATTCCTGTCACAGTCACAACTGTAGGAACTCATTGCAGGGAACTAATGTTGTGTTTTCCTCCTGAGTGTTTCGAAGTCTCTTCACAAGGTTGAATGAAGAGATTTGTAGGCTGGAGAGGCCTTCATTCGAATGTCCATATGTTGAACTTGCTTTTATCCAAATTTCCTGCCTCAGGGAAGAAAGTAGGCTGATAAGATCAGCATGCTCTCTATGTGAACCCCTGTTCAGCTTTTCAACCAGCAGCTTGATTGTTCGTACAAATCCTGTCCAGTTCTTCATCCATTAATCCCATTATCCAGGGCTGTATACTCTTGATAAAGACAGCAGTGAGCCTAAAAGCCATGCTGTCTCAGACGACGGCAATCTTTGTGTCCGCAGATGTTTTCTCTGTGGCTTTCTTCCCACCCTTCGTTGCTTCTTCCCTTTGATGATTTATTTAACATATTTACTTTTGATCCCTTGCTAAGAACTTCAGGAAGCTAGTCGTAAAGGAATTGCATGCAGAAATTACAGCAGGAAATACGTATAATCATAGAGTTTCCATTTGTGGCTTTTTCTTATGGGTGCATCGTCTCTCATCTGTGTGCAGGGAATTTGATTCACTGTCCCCACATGATGTGAAGGGGAACTGCAAGAAAGCGTTCGATGCTGGAGAAGCTCTGGGCATACCCCGAGTGATAGAGCCTGCTGATATGGATGTGTTGACAGTGCCAGACAAGCTGGCTGTTATGACATATTTGTATCAACTGAGGGCTCATTTCACAGGTGAGATAATCAGAAGTAAATTGTTATTTGTTAAATATGAATTACAGAATGTATGCTTTAAATGTATTCTCTGACTTATATTACAGCTCCTGAAAATCAAATGTTTATCTTGAGGTGTACTTTATGTAGGGCGTACGTTTTTTTACACACAAGAAAAAGTAGTATTCTGTTGGTTTCACAAAGCCTGTTTGTCTGTCTGCCTGCATGCAACAACTTAAACTTTTTTTTATTTGAATTTGGTATTAGCAACTTTCACTAATATTGGTTATTACATTCTAGTTTAGCTTAAAATTGGGCAACAGGGAGGGACATCTTATGTGAGGACCTATATTCATTTCTGCTTACTAATTTATCTATATATATGTATATATGTATACGAAGGGGGACCCAAAAATAACCGGAAACGACCTGTTGCGCGCGCATGCTTTGTAGTTACGAGTTGTGCTGCTAGGTGGTGTTAGCTGGGGGTCTCCCGCGACTTAGTGAGCTGGTGTCAGTCTGAGTTAAGCGGTTTGTCTGTGGTGCTCTGTTGTGTGCGTTCCTGTTTCAACCCTTTGGCGATTAGTGAGATGGCCGACCAGAAGGAACAGAGTGTGCGCGAAATTTTGCTTTCTGTTAGGGAAAACTGCAGCCGAGACTGTTGGGATGCTTCGACAAGCCTTTAATGATGATGCTTTGGGGAAATCACAGGTCTACGAGTGGTTTTCCCGTTTCAAATCTGGCAACATGTCAACAGAAGACATGCCATGCCCCGGGCATCCTTCGACAGGAAGAAATGACGAAAACATTGCCAAAATCAAACGTGCAATTGATGAAGATCGTCGAAAGACCATTGACCAACTTTCTGAGGAAACGAACATCTCATGGTGCACGGTCCAGTGAATTTTAACCAAAGGTTTGCACATGAGACGGGTGGGTGTCTGCAAAATTTGTTCCTCGCTTGCTCAGAGATGACCAAAGAGAAAACCGCGTGAATGTTTGCCACGACTTGAAGAGTGAAGTGCAGAATGATCCAGAATTTCTTAAAAGAATTGTTCCTTCTGGTCGGCCATCTCACTAATCGCCAAAGGGTTGAAACAGGAACGCACACAACAGAGCACCACAGACAAACCACTTAACTCAGACTGACGCCAGCTCACTAACAGTCACGGGAGACCCCCAGCTAACACCACCTAGCAGCACAACTCGTAACTACAAAGCATGCGCGCGCAACAGGTCGTTTCCGGTTATTTTTGGGTCCCCCCTCGTATATATTGTGCAGTGGCAATATTGTAACCAAGGAGGTAATACAAGGTGAATTATTGCTAGTTGAAAACTTATACCAATACCCTGCCAAGGTGACGTGAAATATCGTTGCTTTTGGCAATTAACCCCCTCGTTGGTGTCTCCACCTTATCGTAGTGAGGGGGTTTGAGTATGCCAAGGACCCTGAGAGCTATACCAGCGGTAGCGTAGCTACTGGCATGGCCTCCCTTGCTGGACAGGTCAAAGGGTAGGCATCGGACGAAGAGAGACACCAAAAACTGATGCCGGAAGCAGCGTCATCAGCAGCGACTTGAAGCACAGAGCAAATGATGCTCGAGATGGTTCAAGTTCGTATAGCAACAGGCATGACCTGAGTGGTTTGAACGGCTGCTGTACTGCGATGTGGAAGGCAAATGGAAAAACTACCACATTATCACTTTTCCTGGATAGTCTCTTTCCAAAAACAGAGATACCAAATGTGGTATTGGAGAAGGACGGAGAAGATCAGTTTGACCGATTATGGGAGAAATGAAGAAGTGTTATTTAGAGTTAGTGAGTAGAGGAATATCCTACACGAAATAAGAGAAAGATAGAGGGGTGGATAGAAGTGACCAGAAGACGAGGAAGAAGATGTAAGAAGATGCTGGATGACCTTGGGTACAGAAGAGGATATTCTCATTTGAAGGAGAATGCTCTAGATCTCATTAAGTGGAGGAACTGTTTTGGAAGAGACTGTGGACCTGTTGTCTGACAGATTACTAATGAATGAATGAATATATATCAGAATATGTTTTGAATAAGATTTCTGTATGAAAATGAAAAAAGTTCAGTGCCTATTATAGTTATTCTGTGAAGATTATGATTTTCAGGACAGTTAAATAGAAAGGATTTAATATGCTGGAATTGTTACAGTGTTACTAATGTAATGCCCATTAAAATTCTGAAAGTCCCAACATTTGTCATTATTAAAATGTGAAATGTAATTTGTTGGTAACGGTAAGTTTTAAATGACAATACAAAGGTGAAAGTGCAATAATACGTTCGTTGTGAGAGTTTCAGGATATCATGTGTTCTGGTCGTCACTGTCTAATGCATGCTCGGATTTGGTTTCTCAGGAAATATAATTTCTTTCCTGTCTTCATCCCTTACCCCCCCTTCTCCCATCCCTTCATACCTTTATGCCATCATCTCCTTCCTTCCTCTCTCCCACATTTTCTTCCCATCCCCTCCTGTCATAATTTCCCCTACTTCTTACTTCTCCTCTCTCCTTACAGCAATAGGAATTTATTTGCTGTTCAAGAGTGAATATCTGGAAGCCCCATTTACAATTGCACCCATATTAAAACGGTTTACATAATTACTACTGGCTGTCTGAATGCCATCTGTGAGTGAAGACATGCATCAAACTGTCTTCTCTGTATAAAGTGTTTTCAGAGTCTTGTATTACTCATTGAATAGGTGGAGGAACTACTTCTCTCAGTTATTGAATGTACATAGGGTCAGTGATGTTAGGCAGACAGAAATCCATACAGCTGAGCCGTTAGTACCTGATCCTAGCCCTTTTGAGGTTGAAAGTGCTATTGCAAAATTGAAAAGGTATAAATCGCCAGGTAGTGATCAAATTCCGGCAGAACTTATTCAAGCAGGAGGCGAAATATTATGTTCTAAGATCAACAATGGAATTACTTCTATTTGGCATAAGGAAAAATTGCCTAATCAGTGGAAGGAGTCTATTATTGTACCAGTTCACAAGAAGGGTGATAAAACTGACTGTAGTAATTATCAGGGGATATCACTGCTATCAACTTCATATAAAATTTTATCCAATATTCTTTTCGCAAGGTTACGTCCATATATAGATTAAATTATTTGGGATCATCAGTGTGGGTTTTGATGTAACAGATCAACTACAGATCAGATCTTTTGCATTTGTCAGATATAGAAAAAAAAATTTGAGTACAATGAAACTACATCAGCTATTTCTGGATTTCAAGAAAGCCTATGATTCAGGTAGGAGGGAAGCATTGTACAATATTCTGATAGAGTTTGGGGTACCCATGAAACTAGTCAGGCTGGTTAAAATGTGTTTAAACGAAATGTATAGTAATGTCCACATAGGTAAACATTTGTCTGACAATTTTCGTGTCCAGAATGGTTTAACATGAGATGCTTTTGTATGTTGGTATCTCATCACCAAAATTCAGGGCAATATCAGGACATAGGGATAGGTAACAGATGTTTTCAAAATGTGGCACAGTTCAGATATTTGGGAAAGACTATAACAAATGAAAACATGTTGCACGAGAAAATTAAGAGGAGATTGAATTTTTGTAAAGCTTGCTACCATTCAGTCCAAAACCGTTTGTCTTCACATCTGCTGTCTAAAAGCATAAAAATTAGAATATACAAAACTATAATTTTTCCTGTTGTTCTGTATGGGTGTGAAACTTGGTCTCTGACATTAAGGGAGAAACATAGACTGGGTGTGTTTGAGAAAATGGTGTTGAGGATATTTGGACTGAAGGGAGATGAAGTGACAGGAGGTTGGAGAAAACTGCATAATGAGGAGCTTCATAACTTGTACTCTTCTCTCCAAGTATAATTAGAATGATCAAGTCAAGAAGAATGAGATGGGCAGGGCACATAGAACGAATGGGGAGAGGGGAAATTCCTATAGGATATTGGTGGGAAACCCAGAGATGAAGGAGACCACTGGGAAGACTGAGGTGTAGGTGAGTGGACAATATTAAAATGGATCTCAGAGAGATAGGATGGGATGATATGGATTGGATTGATCTGGTTCAGGATAGGGGCCAGGGTAGGGCTCTTGTGGACATGGTAATGAACCTTCGGGTTCCATAAAATGCTGGGAAATTCTTGAGTAGCTGCACAATTGGCGGCTTCTCAAGAAGGGCTCAGCTCCATGAGTGAGTGAATGATTGTTACTCATTGAGGTAGACACTGTCTGTTGTGCTGCATGGTGATGAGTCCCTGCCCTCCGGAACAAGTTCTGAATGTCCCTTTGGAGCCAGAGGCTGAACTCTGTTTATTGTAATGTTTGAGAAGAAGGAAGAGGAGGATTGGGACTTGGAGGAGAAGGAGGAGGAGGATGAGCGAAGGAAGAGGTGGAGAAAATGATGGAAGATGACAAAGAGAAGCAGAGGAGAATGGAGGATTGGAGGGGGCAAAGGAGGAAGGAGGAGGAAAAGCAGATGCAGAAGAAGGAAAAGTAGAAATAATGAGTAGAATAAGGGGGGGGAATAAGGAAATTAAAGATGTTGCTTTCAGTGTTGTCTACAGTGATGCATTGTTCAGAAAAGCTAATATCGTCTTCTTCATGATGGCTTGAGTCTGTCCAATGTCCACTGTGCCAGCCCTCAGCATGTGCGTTCATTACTGCTCTCTTCACATTTATGCTGAATGAGCTCCTGTTGCAGGAAACATTTGCGTTTTCAGTCCTGTTCAAAGCAGAGTTTGTGCAAGGATTTTCTAGGCACAATTGAGAGAATAACAAGAAAACTCACTGGATTGTGATTTAGATGAACCTGTTAACAAGAATCTGGTCTGAAGGATGCATCAGTGAAGGGATAAAACATGCTGAAAGAGTGGTGTAACTCATATTTTTATGTTTACAGGCCATGAACTGGAAGTACAACAGATTGGCAAGACAACCGATGAATCTTCCTACATGATTGGCCGTTTCAACACAGACACCGACACAGATGTTACAGTACAGTTATTTGGCCAAGAAATCATGAATTTACGTAAGCGAGAAGCAGTTGAAAGAAGACAGAACAGACGATCAATAGGCAATAGAAGGTGAGATATATACATTTACACTAGGCATATAAATATAATGGGCAGCTTTTGTCATTCTTCACATGATCCATCCCCTGATGATGGTGGCAGAGATATTCTCTGAAACATTGTAAGCCAAATTCATTTTTACATGGCTGATTATTGATTCTATACAGTTGATATGAAAGTGTTGTGTTTAAGATAGTAGTAGACATACTTTAGTTAGTTAGTTCGAGAGGGTGGGTTTCCCCATGCACTTAGACCAGTATTGGTCCATTGTGCTTCCCTCTGTGATATTCTACCAGTCTCTATACCCTATTGATACTGGTGCTTACCATCAGTCCTGACTGAGCCAGCGAGTTTGGCCTCTGCTGGCTTAGCGGTATCTATAATGCTTCCCCCATCTATCAGAGGCGTTAGAGACTACTGTTGGGCGGGAAATGTCCTTGAATTTGGCTCAGTGACCTCCTTTGGAGATACGAGTTTCTTTTACGTGCCGTAAAGCTACGACACGGGACCCACGGCTTAAAGTCCCTCCCGGAGGATTCGTTCCCTGAATTTTTCCGCCCTTAAAAATTCCACGACCTCCGCTGGGTTTGAACCCGCGTACTACGAGTCATGAGGTGGGAACGTTACCTCTAGACTATGGAGGCCGCTTAGTAGTAGACATACCTTATTGCACACATAGGAAGCTGCTATGTCACCCATTATAATCGTAGAGATAAAAGTTGGGTCCTCATAGTTCAAGACGGATGTTTGCATGCCGCTGCTTTTGATCATTTGTCAAGAGTCATGGAACAAACTTCACAGCAGTGTGGCGCATGTTGAAATTTTCTGTTAAGATCTCCTGGCCAACTCCATGACTGATCCCAGCAATGTCTGCAAGCTCATGGATTGATCAGCAACAGTCTTTATCGATGAGTTCTCAAATTTTTCAACATTTCCTGTAGTTCTGCTGGTGCCTAGTCACCCTGAACATTCATCATTTTCAGCTGACACTTGAGTGGCGTTGAAACGTGAATGCCATTCAAAAACTGCAGTCCTGCTTAAAGAATGTTCTCCAAAAGCCTCACAAAGCAGTTCAAGGATTTTGGTAGTGGATTTACCGAGCTTCACGCAAAACTTGATGCAGACACATTGCTTGATTTTGCCATCCATCACAGACAAAACGAAACACGAAGTCAAAAGAGCACTTGTGTAAAAGCAGTGCATGTTCACAGTGCAGTGTCACATGGCAGACTGATGCAACAGGCTTAGGGAAGTGTGACCTTGGCCTCCCCTCTCATCTTCTTTCAACGAAGTAGTTACAACAATAACAGTCTGGGAACTCTCTGATAGCACCTTGAATGTGGGAGGTTCTAGGTTCAAATCTCACAATGGCTGTCATGATTGAGGTTTTTTATGGTTTTCCTCAGCCTTACCAGGTAAATGCTGTGATAGCGCTTTGTATAGGCCATGAGTACTTCCTTCCAGATTCTTTATGTTTCATCATCCAGCTGTCTTACCTTTGACATTATATAGTATGAGATACTGGAAGTGTCATTAAATAATGCAGAAAAGTGATGGTGTTCATTGGAGGCTTATGGATTGCTCTCCTACACTGCATCTGCAGTGAGATCCTAGTTTAGTTTTCTCACATGTAATGGAATTCCCAATTTTGTTCAGTTTTTTCTGGTCGCTCCTGCAGCCAATGTAAGCAATGTGTTATTTTCCCATCTTTAGTGAGTTTCACTTTAGTAAGCAGTCCACAGTAAATGTAAGAGATGTTTGATTTTCCAGAATTTATACCTTGATTTGGTGCAATTGTAGTTGAATACCACTTAATATTCACATTTTCTGTGCCAGAAATTGTTGACACAAGACCGTATTCTTTGGCAAGTGATGTCACATATTATCCATGCACCAAAACCTTGCTGCTTGTGGGATAATAGTTACTTTAATCCTCGACTGAGGCTTTTTCACAGTGTATTTTATATGTCATTCATTATTTTAAACAATATGATATTATTAATTGTATAATTGTGTTTATTTGTGTAGGAACAGTCTTTTAATTCTTACATAAAGCAGGCACGCAGTAGCATAGTTGGTTGAGGCAGAATGCTACAAGCCAGAAAGTCACAGGTTCAAGTCCTGATGAGGTCATTGGATTTTTTCAATTGACCTAATCCTTCCAGCTGCACTATGGCCCTGGGGTCGACTCAGCCTCCAACAGAAATGAGCACCAGGAATATTCTTGGGGGTAAAGGGCAGCCGGCGCATGGGGCTGGCAAACTTACCGCCATCTGTGAGCCGATGGTCTAGAAAATGTGGGCACCTCATCATCTCACAACCCTGTGGACCTCGATGGCCTGTTACAGGGATAGCTTTACTTTTTTTACTTATATAAAGAAATTATTACATCATGTACACTGAATCAATTTTTTTCTTTTAAGTTTATTATTCAAGAAAGCTATCATTATTGAGAATATACAGGGTAATTCGTAAGTCCCTCCAGAACTTCTGAACTCAGCAGCACAAAAACCAAGACAAGACAGCATAAAGGAGCATATCAGTAGGTAGAGAATCTCTCCATACTTGTAATCATTGTCCCTCTGTTGACATCCTCCCCCCCATACTATAGAGTTTGGAAATCCCAGAGGGACTTATGAATCACCCCATATAATGTGAATGATGGTGAAGGTAAAGTTGTTCCTGTGTTTAATTAATTAATTAATTAATTAATCACTATGCCATGAAGGTGTATTGGGGAATGGATGATTGATCCACGTTTTCTTGACTTCAGCACTAGTTGGAGGTTTATGGTCAGCTTCATGACCCGGCCGCTTTACCCCCGGGGAAAGAGCCCCTGGTACCCATTGAAAAGGAGGCTGAGTGGGCCCCAGTAACAGCCTTGGATGATGTGGGGAAGAAAAAATTCTTGACCCTAATGGGATGTGAACTCCGACCCCTGTCATCCAGCCCATACCCAGTCACTATACTGACTTCATTATCCCAGCTCCTGTAATGTCAGTGACAGGATCAGTAATGAGTATAGAACAGCTGGTGTAAAAGAACTGGCAAGGAATACTGAGGCACATGGAGAAGACCGGCCCTAGTGTCATTTTGTCCACCATACATCCGACAAGATGTGATGGCCAGCATCTAAACACCTGAGCTATGGCATGGCCCTAGTGTCATTTTGTCCACCATATATGCGACATGATTTGATGGCCAGCATCTAATCACCTGGGCTATGTCATGGCCCTAGTGTCATTTTGTCCACCATATATGCGACATGATTTGATGGCCAGCATCTAATCACCTGAGCTATGGCATGGCCCCCAGTAAATCTTGGATGGAAATGAGCAGCTTCTTGTTATAATTTTGCATAATGGCCATTTAGTGGAAAAATTAGTTCAGTGTAAGTATTGATTTTACTGTGTACTTGCATTCAGGTCTGGCTCTGCTGACTCTGATGGGACGGCAGAGAGTGAGGGCAGCAGGAGCAGCGTGCTGACACCCAGAGTGTCTAGGCAGACCTCGGGTCTGAGATTGAGACTGCCCCTTCCTCTTGTCAACAGTTATGACTCCGGTGATAATAGTGAGCGTTCACCCACTTCCGTCAAAGAAGTGAAGGACAAGATATTAGCGAGCTCAAAGAGCATTCTGGGCAAAGTGCTGTCACCCACCAAAGAGAAGTTAGCCAGAGACAAGGTAGGTACTTCATGTTATATGTGTTAAAGGTAAAGAAGGTAAATCTATCCCCGTAACAATTGGCTCACAGCTGGCGATGAGGGTGTTAACATTTACTGGCCATGTATTGCACTCCTGTGATGATACATGGAAACTGAATTACCAACCATGTGCATTATGAACAGATTCATTGAGACCTGTAAATCAAATTGGATCTTGGCCTGTTAATTACACAGCACAGTGGAGTGCAACGTCCCCTTTTTTCACTAGCTAATGTGAAGTAAGCTGGTTTTTATTAAGCTGGATCACAAAAATGACAGTCAAAAAATGGCAACATGTCCAACATTTTTGTTATCTGTGTTTCTGCATGCAAGACAAGTGAATGGACATACCACTTAGTACACAAATTGAAATACCATATTTGCCAAATAAAAGATTCCCTCAAATATAAGTTGACCTCAGAATTATATAGTCTTGAAATTAAAAATAAATTGGCTGGTTCATTGGTTGGTTGGCTTCTAATGCCGCAATTTGACAGTTAAGTCATTTGCGCTATTAATCTTGACTGATTAGAACATTTGTAACTCATCTGGTTGGATGCAACTTGATTTAGTTACTTTATCCAGTTGGGATGGATGATTTCAACTTGTTCTCACTCATGTGTTCCAAAAGAGAGTTTCATGTGATGAAATTGCATAAATTGAATGTGGTTTCCCCCTTAAGTATCGTTGGAAGTGTCTGTGATCTGCTACAAAGAGCATCAGAATATTGTTGCTGTTACTGCAACTCGTCTTTCGGAGCACAATACAGCACATCCCTTTTCTTATTCAATAGTATTTATGTCAGTTCAGTATGACTAACTTGTGTATATATTTATGTATTTAGTCTGAAAAAGATTGCTAAATGCTACTAAGGAGTGGGATGGCATAATGTCCTTGGAATGTGTGCTGACAACCTGTGCCACTATCACTTGGCCAGTTACCCTGAGACATATCTTCTCTCCCCCACTCCCTCTCCCTACCCTGAATTTTCTTTACTCACTCATGGAGCTGAGCCATTTCCGAGAAGCTACCACTTGTGGAGCTACTCAAGAATTTCCCAGCATTTTATGGCACCCAAAGGTTCATTACCGTGTTCAGAAAACCCCTCCACTGGTTCTTATCCTGAGCCAGATCAATCCAGTCCATACCATCCTATCCTGTCTCTCTAAGATCCATTTTAATATTAACCACCCACCTACATCTTGGTCTTCCCAGTAGACTCGTTCCTTCTGGATTTCCCACCAAAATCTAATATTCATTCCTCTTTTTCCCCTTTCATTCTACATGCCCTGCCCCATTTCATCCTTCTTGACTTATCAGTCTAATTATACTTGGTGAATCATACAAGTTGTGAAGCTCCTCATTATGCAATTTCCAACCTCCTATCACTTCATATCTCTTTGTTCCAAATATTCTCCTCAAAACCCTGTTCTCAAACACCCTCAGTCTATGTTCCTCCCTTAATGTCAGAGACCAAGTTTCACACCCATACAGAACCACAGGCAAAATTATAGTTTTGTATATTCTAATTTTTATGTTTTTTGACAGCAGACGAGAAGACAGAAGGTTCTGGACAGAATGGTAGGAAGCATTACCTGAGTTCAGTCTCCTCTTAATTTCCTTCTAAACCAGGATTTGATTTTTATAATTTTCTTCTCATTATGGAATTATTTTGAAGGCTAGTAATGAAATAAAATGCACAAGAACATTATTAAACAAGAACATTTAGACAGAACAAAATGCTATAATGAAGATCTTCTTACGCCAGAAAGAATGACCGTCATAGATGTGCAGAAGAGATGCTACATGGTGGCCAGATTTTCCATGCTTCCTTCATCTACCTCCTTTGATACGCTACTCCTACTTCCCACCTGTCTCAATCGATCAGCTAACATTTCACAATAAAGTGAATACTATTAATGGAAACTGGTCTGTATTAATTGAGGGCATTGAAATGGATGCACATAGAATGAGGAGTACATGTATTAATATTGTTAACTCTGAGTTAAAATCCCAGTAATACCAGGCAATTTAAAGTCACATACTCCGAGGTGGTAAAGTTTACACAGATATGTGGATCCCTGTACAGCTTATTGCAAAGGAAAGAAATGGTTATGGTAAGTCAGCTCAAAAGTAAAACTAAGGTCCCTGCTTACTGAAGCTGGAGACTTCAGAAAATTGCAAGGAAGTGGAAGCTCAAAACGGTTAGGCTGCATGGATGAAGAATGTTTCTCATTGGGGTTTGAAATCATCTCTCTTCTATTCCACTTTATTTTCTAATGCCATCAGGGCGACTAATGATGTTACATATGCACCAGACGTGGCTGCATTATTTTGTTGCTGAACAGAGTTACACCAAAAGGAGGCACACCAGTATGTTGAACTTCCTGGAAATGCAAATACAAGCTGTAAAGCTGGGCCCTCACTTTGTTGGCTGTTGCAAACATCATAATGAACTTCCAAGTTCTGTAAAAGGTAGCGAATTTCTTGATGAGCTGAGCAACTTCTAGCTCTTCAAGATGACACCATAAAGTTAGTTTGTATTTCTACCTTAACATAGTCACTTCTGCAGGCTAACTAGCAGTATCAATATAGCAGTGTTTGTTGTACAGCCTGTGTGTGTAATGTTCGACATTTGTGTCTGTGTATTCAGTTATTCAGTATAGAGGGGGTGGGTTTCCCCATGCACCGTGACTAATAGTCTGTTGTACATCCCCCTTTGATTTCTACTGTTGACATACCCTACCGATACTGGTGTCCGCTATCTCCCCTTTCTGCCAGTGAGGTCGGCACTCTACTGGCATTGGTACCCAATAACTTCCCCATCTACCAGAGGCATTGGAAACTACTTGGGCGGGAAACATTTTGCCTAATTTTGCTCAGAGGTCTCCTAGAGACATGAGGATCTTTTATGTGCTGTAAATCTACGACACGGGACCCACGGCTTAAAGTCCCTCCCGGAGGACTTGTTCCCTGAATTTTTCCGCCCTTAAAAATTCCACGACCTCCACCAAGTTTGTACCTGCGTACCTTGAGTCATGAGGTGGGAACATTACCCCTAGACTACGAAGGCTGCCTTGTATCTGCGTAAGAATATTGCAAGATACTTACCACGTCATTTGCCGTTTGTCCAGTTCTGAGTATTTCTTTCATGTACCAACAGTCACGTGTGCTTGCTATAACATATTATATGCACTTTTACACTTGAAACAAAATTTGATGTTCGAATATTAGTTTTGAGGCTTTGGCTGTGGCAGTTGTCAGAGTGTGGACGTCTGGGTTGTGATGACGTGTAGTCTGGTACATGGGTACTGTTCCTGAGGAAATTGCCTTCATCTTCAAGGTTGAAGTGAGTGTAGTGAGTTTCAGTCACCTTAAGTAGCCAGGTTGTGAGGATAAAGTCAAATAAACTTCATACTTCTACTTCTGAAGGTCAATTGGATGTGATAAATTGATAGTCAGATTGATAACTTCCAATGGAAACAAGTAACTGAGGTAGCAGGAAGGAGTATAGTCACTCCAGCTATGAGTAAAATGTAATTTGTTTGACAAAACTCTGGTCCTGGTACTTCAGTCTATAGAGGTTTAATTTGTGTGAGATTTTAATTCTAATGGTAGAGAAGACAAGTAGTTTTTGTAGGTCTTTGCTGATGTTGTTTGTACCCTAGAGATGGAAGCCAGAGTGTTCCTGTGAAGTGTTGGCACCTGTGCCAAAATGGTTGCAGGCACATCTCAGAAGATCATAGTTTCTGTTTGTGTCTGTGTTCCAATTTCAAACCGTATTATGTCTTCCTAACTGGTGGTCTGGTGCTAATGTGATCACCATTGGACCCACAGTTCGCGGGATGAAACCTGGCTTAGGCCAGTGGATTTTTGAGGGTGAAAAAAATCTGTAACACAATTCCCTTCTGTGGGGAAATATTGATGGGGGGGTGTCCCATATGGCACATAAAAGAACCTTTCACTCATGCTAAAAGATGGGTGAATTTTTGGTTGCCTTCAGAGTTCCCTAGAGGCTGCTGTGGTCACATGACTGTGGAGTCCTCTGGCAGACAAGAGTGGGAACAGCTTAAAATCATGCAACCCAACTGAAGTACAGCTGGATAACTTAACTCACCCAGGTGATGTCCAGACGGGGAGTGAGTTAGAAATATGGGAGTCAGTTGAGGCTGAGAACACAAATGACTTAATTGTCAAAGTGTGGCATCAGAAACCAACCAACTGTATTTCTGTCTCACCTGTATACAAACAAAGGAGCATGATAATGATGGGAAGTTATTGAATTTAATATAATAAGATAGGTTTATGCTGCCTTGTCAAAGAATATTATTGGAGCCTGCCACCAGTAAAGTTTGTGGACCACTGGATAATTTAGTAATATCAGCAAGTGGAGCTGAATTGTATGACACACTGGTCACACGCAATATAATGTCCTGTAATAAAAAATAAGTGATATATTGCAACTCCCATAAAGGCACGACATCTCATGATTTTTTGTGATGTTTGCCTGTGTCCACGGTCCTTCTTGGCCCAGTCCAGGCACTAGCCCCCCCCCCTTGTGTCTGTGGGTCTGTTGGAGCAAAACGTGTATAGACACCCACTCTTCTCACTTTTACCTTGAAGACAGAGGCAGGAAATATCACCAGAACATCATCAACACTGCACATCCACAGGATGCAAATGCTCAAGAATGGAGTCAACAACACTGAACCACTGTGAAAGCCTGTAATCAATAAAGACACAGTGTACTAAAATCTGATGTATGTAACAAGAGAATCGTGTAGCCAGACCTTCAGCCTGAAATGACCGACTTGCATGCAGATGTAGCTTTGTTAGCATATTAGTCTGCATATCCTAACACCACATTAGTAGTTTCTAATTGTTTCTCATTAGCAGACCTATGGTTACTGTGAAAATTAATTCCATTTCACAATCTGTATCTCTAGTATGTAGTTTGTTAGGCTTTTTTTTGATGAAACCTCATGCTGATGTGCTCCAGTTAGTCTGTTTGCAGTTGTGACAAATGATTACGCAAGGGACAGTAAGCTAAAGGTAACTGAGTTACATAGTGTGAACTTATATGCTTTGTTCTGTAAGGAGAAAACTTCTTTGATTTCATATTGTCATCTTATAGCACCATATAGTCTTGTATGTGAATGCCAATGTTTTGGAAAAATATAACCTAAAAGACCAGAATATGAATTTTTACTGCCGTGTTATTGAGGTCTCATCTTAGGAAAAAACATATGTTGTAAATTCTTGTCAAATTTCTGCAACATCTATGTGATGTATAAGTTTCACTTCTGGAGTTTAGCCATGTCACATGTCATGTTTGAGCTGTTCAAGTTGTAAGTAATTGTCAAGGTTCTGCAACACTGGTGTACATTACAGTCATCATCCTCAAGGTGAGTGAGGCAGGATAGGATGTGCTCTGACATAAAGGTCTTGCAGTGGGAGTAAGGGTGGGTATGTGGAACATGATGCAATGTGATTTGTTCACCCTGAAGATGGAGACCACACTGTAAGCCAAAACACTGAAATAGCTCTTACACTCAGTGCAGCCAACCCCTGCACATAAATTACAGGTGTTTCAGAATAAGATACTCAGGGATGTGTTTATGCCTATGAGGCACAGGGAGTTTAAGATACTGTAATACTGTGCTCTCTTTATAGTGTTATGTGTCACTGTGTGACACTAGTGCCTTTGTAACTTATGGAAGGACACTCAGCTAAAATTTGGCTTTACATCATTGATATTGCTTTGCAGGTACTGTTGCCGTATTGTTAAGGTAGGGAATTGCAATGGGCTAGACAGCTCAGACTGGGAGATAAGTAGTGCATACAGAATTTTGGTGCTGTACCTTATGGAAAATGGTCGCTTTCAATCATTCAATCAATTTTTTTCTGAGATGCAGTTGGCTGCTCTGTTCAAACAGCCATACCACATATCCAAGACACTTTGAAATTTGCTCTTGGATAAAGCTGGTATTTTGTCTTTGTCATCACCAGATGACAGCTGTGTCCTCTCTCTTTGACCAAAGAATGTTTGTCAGTGTATGGTGAAGAGCAGCAAAACAAGGTAATGCTGCAACAGCAGGGACCTGCTGCCATTTGAATTATAGCAGCAGTGGCAGCAAAGTGAGCACAAGGTTCTCTTCACTGATGAACTCTGATATTGGCTGTGTTCAACCTTAAAATTCATCAGTCATGTCAGACCTTAAATAATTATGTAGTACGAAATTTGGGTTGCATGTACACATGCATCAGTGACATAGGATATGCAGCTAGCAATTGGCTAGCCTGCACACATACACCAAGTATATATCTAGTTAGCAACTGACTAGCCTGCGCACATATGCCAGTGGGGTAGAGAGACAGTTAGCTGGTAGTGTGATTGGTATTTCTCTTATTGTAGTGTGCACAGTATATTAACCGCAGAAGTGTTTGCATAGGAATGGATCTCCATTTATGACATGGAAGTCAGTAGAAAAATGGAGTTTGTGGGAATTTCATGACATGCAACATGGGGATATGATGTATTTTAGTTAATAAGACAGAGCAATATTTTGTTTCTTTTATAATAATTTCAGAGTAAGTCTCCTGTCGCAACCACTCAGCGACCAGTTCTTATGACAAGACGCCAGTTAACTGATCCATTTGGTTCTGATGATGAAGATGAAAGGTTCGTATCTGAATACACCAAATAATATCTGTTCACATCCCCTGTTCCATTAAATTTCGATTTTAATGTGTGTATGTGTGGTGAATATACTGAGTTGTGCTGTCTTCTTTCTGTTTTCATGTTGTTATCATATGAATGTCTTGACAGGTCATATCTGAAATCATGTGGAAAGGACGCGACTCTTGACCTGGAGTATATGGAAGTAAAGGAACCAGATTTAAATAATACACATAAATTCAGGCCCTGCCTTACAGAAAACACACTTGATCTCCATAACAAAGGCCAGCCACTTAGTGCTATTAGAGAAATATTTCCATCTGTTGTCAGAATCATGCAAAACATATAAACACACACTGTGGACAAAATGCATTATCTTTAATGATGAATCATGTGGTACATATGTGGTGTGTTCAAAAAGTACCGAACCTTCTTTTTTCCCGCGTAAACCAACAAAGCGCGGGAGGCTCCCTTTGGTGGAGATGTGGAGGGGACATTCATGCGCAGTCGTGAATTTTTTCCTGCCCGCAGAAAGCGTCAGTCACTGGCAGTCAGCCTATGAGTGAGGACGTGTAGTGAGCGCTCATCGGATTCCAGTAAAGTGTAAAATGACAGAACATGAGCAGCGATATTGCATCAAATTTTGCCAAAAGCTTGGCCATACTCAAGTGGAAACCATTCGCAAGATTCAACAGGCTTTCGGGGACGATGCCATGAGCAACTCATGGATAAAGGAGTGGTACAACCGCTTCAAAGATGGCCACACATCAGTGGACAGCGAACCGCGTTCAGGCAGACCCTCAACAAGCTAAAATGAGAATGTCATCGAGCAAGTGTGGACTTTGGTCATGGAGGACTGTCGTATCACAGTCCAAGAACTTGCGAATGAGACAGGGGTAAGCACTGGATCGGTACATTCAATTTTGACCGAGGATTTGGGCATGAGGAGAGTGTCTGCGAAATTCGTACTGAAACTGCTAACAATGGAGCAGAAGCAACGCTGTCTGGAAATCGCACAGGACATGCCGGACAATGCAAACAGTAACACCGTGATCACAGGCGATGAGTCGTGGGTTTATGGGTACGACCCAGAAACCAAGATGCAGTTGTCACAGTGGAAACATCCGACATCCCCGAGACCAAAAAAAGCACAGCAGGTCCGCAGCAATGTCAAGGTCATGTTGGCCATTTTCTTCGACTCCCGTGGGGTTGTGCATCATGAGTACGCACCACAAGGCCAAACCATCACAAAGGAATGCTACCAGGAGGTCCTTCATCGCCTTCGTGATTCTGTGCAGTGCAAATGACCAGATCTGTGCGCAGCAAAAACTTGGCAGCTCCATCATGATAACGCACCCACCCATTCTGCGCATCTGATTCAAGCTTTCGTCACCAAACACAACATCCCTGTGGTTCGTCAGGCTCCCTACTCCCCCGACATGGCTCCGTGTGACTTTTGGCTATTTCCCAAGCTGAAAATGCCGCTGAAAGGAACCCGATTTGAGTCAAGAGAAGACATCATGTGGAATGCGATGGCCTGGCTGGTCACCATTCCAAAAGACGCGTTCCAAAAGTGTTTCCAACAATGGTGGAAGCGCTGGGAGAAATGTGTGCATTACCAAGGAGACTACTTTGAAGGGGATTAGGGTTTTGTACCTCCAAATCAATAAATGTATTTCTGCCGACCAAAGGTTCGATACTTTTTGAACACACCACGTATAGCAACCACTTTCCTTTCAGGTCTCTCAGATGTCAGGAATTTTCCACCCATACAATTAGGTCATGCAAAAAGATGTTTTTGTGTCCATATCCCATGGCTGTGTGAGGTTTGAATTTGAGAATGTGACACCAATCACGTGACAGACTGCATGTTGTCACATCCCACCAGATTGCTCAGAGTTTTGTTTTAATTTCCAGCTCTGTAATTGCTAGTGAAGACAAGAAGAGCTGCAACCGTCCTCTAACAAGATCACAGTCATCACAGGATAGCGTAAGTACTCTTCCTTTCCAGCATGTTTGGGTGGGAGGAATGTTTAATTGAAGAATGCTGTCTTCTGGAATGTGGCTCCATGTAGATTTTGTGTGAACCAACGTTTCGGTGGAATGTTACGCCTCCATCTTCGAAGGTAGAAAAATTCGCCACCCATGCTGGTTCATTCCTCATGGATTTTTCTGCCTTTGAAGACTGAGGCAATATGTTCCTCCTAAACGTTGGTTCACACAAGATCTACATGGCGCCACATCTCAGAAGATGGCATTCTTCATAGTCACCGCTATGGAAACCTCAGATCTTATGTATTATTCCTCTATGGGGAGGCTACTCATTGACATATTCAATGACTCAAGATGCTATAAACCAAGAAGCCCAAGCTACTCAGTCTGCAGCCACCCGCTCATGGTGGTTCCTCGCTCGTGGATTTTCTACCCTGAAGATGGAGGCGATACATTCTTCAGAAACATTGGTTCACACAAGATCTACATGACGCCACATGTCAGAAGATGGCATTCTTCATAGTCACCACTGTGGAAACTTCAAATCTTACAAGGTTTTAATTTGTTACATGTGACATCACCAGGGTGACTATGAAGAGTGGTGTGTCCCAGAGTCTGCTGTTAGCTTCTTGGCTGGTTGCTTGCTTGGTGTACTCTTCAACCCTGATGATGTCATTGAATTTCTACCAGACTACACGGCGTCACGTTCCAGAAGATAGTACTATTCAGATTTTAATTACCAAAATTGTGAAAATTTGTTTTTATTTTTGAACAGGAATCAGTTCATTCTTGTGATACGAGGATGAGCAGAGAAGGGTCAGAAGGATGCGAAACAAACGGTGTTCAACAGGGTCTTTCGCCAACGCATGAAGCTTTCAGTAGACAGCAACATGTAAGACACTGAGTACAGTTCCTTTTCTTGATGGTACAACTGTAGTGTGTTGTCTTTCCTTCTTCTTCTGGCATTGCTTGCACTTTATATGAGTCTTTCTGTTAACATACAGTACACTACTGTACCTAACTGTGTGACTAACTAGTTAATTCTATAGAGCTGAGTCCTCCTTGAGAAGCTAACAGTTGCTCAGCTATTCAAGAAATTTTAGCAGTTTTTAAGCCTGAGGGTTCGTTACAATGATCACAAAAACCTACCACTGACCCCTACCCAGAGCCAGATGAATCCAGCCCACATCCTCCCATCCTATTTCTTTAACATTCGTTTTATATTATTATCCCATCTACACATGTTTCTTCCTATTTGGCTCTTTTGTGCAGATTTCCCTGCCAAAACTTCTCAGGATCCAGTCACTTTAAAATATGTTTTAGATTTGAAATGTTCAGGTTCTGTTACCATGTGCAACATTTTGGCCAGGGCAGTGACAGTATTTTCCTTCTCTATAATTTGTAAATTTCAGTAGCTGAAATTTATGCATTCAGAGTCCAGTCTCTGTCTCAGAATTCAGAATTGCTTGTGAAGCCTGAAGATGCCTCAAGTACTTATGGGTGCAATATTTTGTTTGGAATCACTCAAGTGATTATGGGAGCATTTTCTTTGGATGCTGTGCATTTTACTAATAGAAACTACAAAATACAACGAAGAGGAGTGACAACATGTAGTCTGGTATTTTGGAGGAATGTGTTGCCTTTCTCTTCAGGATTGTAGAGTAAACAAGTCACCGGAAAGATGCAAACAGCAAGCAAAACCCATTGTACAAAATACAGTATTTTGATGGCTGGCCATGTTTCTGTCAGTGGAAGAGAAGAGTACCTGTGGGGCTCAGTAGATAATGGCTGTCCTTAACAGCAGGCAAGAAGTGGGTTCTGTTTAGAACTGCACTGGGTGATAGCACATTGAATGTGCCATATCACAAGATGCTATAATCATACAACATTCCGTCATTATTTTTGGATGTTACCACACACTGAAGTTCAAACCCCTTACTTATGAGACACTACAAAGTCGGTAACCTTGGCCTTTGGAAACCGAGAACTGTATAATATTGTTGCATGTTTAGTGACTATAGATGGGTTTTGGATTCATCATTGGATTTATTGGACTCTTACAAATTGTAACTACAATTCGTTGTACTGCTCTCGCTAATTTGCACACAGTACAATTCAATACAGTGTGCAGTAAATCTGAGACTGCTGTGCCTTCACCGGCCATAGCAGGGTAACGGCTCCGAATATCGTCCTCTGCTTCCATTGCCCAGTGGCTCCAGAGTCCTCACTGGCTGCTGACCCCAGTCAAGACTGACTCAGGCAAGCTGAGAGTCCTGTTATATAGCCTCTGCACAGACCCAGCAGAGAACAGTTCCTCTGTTATCGCATTTGTATCTGTTGCAGCTGTTATGTGATCTTGTAGACATGGAATCGTGTTTACAGAACCTAGCAATGGCTGTCTCTTCTGGTTCTGTTATCATGACTTTCAGCACACATGTCACAGTATATTTAAAAATATAGCTTCTCTACCTGCTTCCTCCTTTCTGTCAGGAACGTTAATAGAGGAAAACCAAAGAGAAATTATGACATTTACTCCACAATTGTGGCAGTGTGTACAGTACTGACTGCTGTTAAAGCCACTTGCTAGTATTGTGGCAGAGTTGGCGAAATTGTTCCTGATCAAGCTGGATGATATAGCAGTACCACTCTGTACTTATATTCACCAGATGCTCTGTACAGATCTCAGCCAGGACATTGGCAATACTGACTGAGGTTTTTGTGTTTTTCCTTGGTACCTCAAGGCACATGCTCAGATAGTACTTCGAGCCACAGCTACTTCTTTCCAGATTACTTCCAGTTCATCATTTATCTTACCATTTGACACTGTATAGACTAGATACTGACAGTGCTGCAAAATAAGACCCCAAAGGAATCTTTAATTTCTTCATTTAAATGCTGTCCCATCCTAATAGTTGTAACTGCTGTATACTGTGAAACTGCCAGTGAAAACAACTGTTCTATGGGTGAAGAGTTGGAACTTCTGCTCGTTGCTTACATTTGTTATTGAAACATTAAACAGCATAGAAAATTCCCCCATAATGATACTTGACAGTGTTGCAAACCTTCAGAATCATGGAATCGGTCAAATTTTGTGTTTCTTGCATATTTAAAAATGTATCTATATGATTTCTTTTGTATCATAATGTTTTCATGAACGTGAATATCAGAGATCTGGAAGGGAAAAATGTGAAATGAGAACATTTCTTGAATGTTTCATGGCCAGTCTCCTTTCATACAGTCAGCCATATTCACCTGGCCAGTATCACTGTTACTGTTAGTTGATACAGATCTGTTAAATAATCTGTGTCATAAAATTTGTAGAACATACACAGATCTTTTGAAATTTAGTTTCAGTAAGAGAAGTTACTGTTTCTTATGAACAGTTATTCAGCTCCTAGCCAGTGCTTATTAACCTGGACAGGTAGCAGGTAATGTTATCTTGTAACCTTCTATTTGCCTAATACATCTACAAGACTTAAGGTCAAGGGTGTGTAAATATTTTAATCACATCTTTTGTCTTTTGGTTCTTCTAATTTGCATTTTCTTGTTTGCAATTTGTGTTGTTTTGCTTCTTACTTCAAGGCCCTTTATTTTGCTTACTCAGTCTGCATGCATTTTTCTGTACAGTGGTTATGGTAATCAAGCATCTAGTATATTTAGAAATACTAACAGAAAGCACCCAGACATGTTATGAAACTTACTTTGTACTCACTTTTATGTATTGTTGCCACAATTGTTAGAGTGATGTAAGTATAGCATTACAGAGCTTCTGGCTGTGATTCAAATACTTATTCTCAATATAGGAACCTATATATTTTTAATTATATGCATAAAATTTAATTTCTTAATCTGAATGCTATTCCTTTTCTGAAGTTTTGGCCACTATATATAGTGATATTGACAAGAAAAGCAGGCAGAGAACAGGTAGTTCTGTTTGCTCCTTTTGTGGAAATAGCTTTTCATTTCATGTGTTCTTGTGTTTAACTTCCTGAAACAGCATTTGTATCCAGTAATGCATTTCCGTTGAATGTGGCATAAGCATCATGCCACTAGAGGCCACCTTACATTGTACTTATCCATAATCCTGAAATGGTGACCATGGAAGCATACACAGTGTGTCCAGGTTCTGTTAGGACAGTGTTCATTAAAAATACAAGACGTGAATTATTTTCAAAATTTCACTCTTTTTATTCAAAATAGTCTCCTACTGAATCAATACATAGCTGGAATCGATTGAAAAGTTTTCGAAAACAGTAACTGTACTCCTTTTGTGGAATCGCATTTAAAACTGCAGTACATTCCCTTTGGATGTCCTGGATGGTGTCATGACAGTCTCCTTTCATCGCCAACTTAACTTTTGGGAACAACCAGAAATCTGCTGGAGCAAAATCTGGCAAATACGGATGATGATCAAGGACTGTGATCCCTTTTCTGGCCAAAAAATTGCACATGATCTTCTATTTGTGGGGTGGGGCATTATCGTGGAAGAGCGACCAGGAACCTTGCTCTCCATATTCAGGTCGAATTTGAAGAATTCTTGCCCACAAATGAGTGAGGACTCTGAGATAATAATCAGAATTCACTGTTTGACCTTCTGACAGAAATTCCTGTGGAATCGAAGAAAACTGTTAGCAGTGTCTTTATTGGACTCTTTTGCGTGCGGACTTTCTTTGGTTTCGACTTCTTTGGGCTGGAACACACTGCACTCTGCCGCTTTGTGAGAGGCTCATATTGAAAACAGAATGTCTCATTACCAGTAACAATCGATTTTATAAATTTTGTATCACTTTGGGCTGACTGTAACTTATCTTTGCAGTGTTCCACTCTGGCATGTTTCTCATCGCCTGACAGTGTGTGTGGTACAAACCGTGCACAGACCTTCCATTTGCCCAAATCCTCTATCAGAATTTGATGCACAATACTTTTTGGTATTCCCAAAAGCTCCTCAATAAGTCTTGTAGAAACACATCTGTCTGATGCAAGGATTTTGGTCATTTTTTTCACATTTTCTTCAGTGCGACTTGTTCTCGGCTTTGATGCACATGAAGAATCTTCAGTGTCCTCCCTGCCATCTCAAAATACAGCATACCATAAAAAAATGTTTGAGTGACTCAAACAGTCACTACCATATGCACTTTTCATCATTTCATATGCTTCCCTGGCTATTTTGCCTAACTTCAAACAAAATTTGATGTTCGCTTTCTCTTCAACTGCCATTTTCCGACGAGCATCAGAACAGTACTGTTACATTCAAGGTCAGAACACATGATGCAGCTATGCTTGCGCTTTGAAATTATAGACAGCCACAGCTGAAACTTCAAGAATCTTAATGCCACAACTCCCCAACAGATGGCATTGCATGGCAAAATTAAAAAAATGAGTCCTAACAGATCCTGGACACACCATGTATGAGGTGGAATAATGCTAGCACTACTGTCAGCAAACTAGCACTGGATCTTAAGATTTTATTTTATAATCAGTCTTAAAAGAACGTGCAAGTTTTATAAAGATATGATGATGGGATAGCCAAATAGAAGGGATGGTAAAGGACTGTAGAAGAAAGGAGGGAAGGAGACAGAAGTGTGAAAGTGGTGAAGGAAAACATGAAAGAAACCTGCCCCTGCACCAAGTAGTTACAACCAGATGACAGAGTATCCTGGGGCCTGTGTTATTGTGGTCGCACCTTATTGTATTATTGTTATCTTTATTTGTACTTAATTTTGTAATTCTTGAAGTATTTTGTATATGAAGAATTAGTGGTGAAAGGACTTCTGCTGAATTTTGAACAGATGCTATGCTCTGTGTGTGTCTGTGTTCATGTGTACATGTGTGTATGGTATGTATTATGTTTATCTCTGATATCTGTCTGTACTGTTTTAATCTTTGATCTCCTAGTTCTGTCTGTTATCATCATCATCATCAGTAATCTGTCAAGACGACAGGTCCACAGTCTCTTTCAAAACAATTCCTCCACTTAATGCGATCTAGAGCTTTCTCCTTCAAATGACAGTATCCTCTTCTGTCCCCAAGGTCATCCAGCATCTTCTTACGTCTTCTTCCTCGTCTTCTTGTCACTTCTATCCGCCCATCTATCTTTCCTTCGATAGCTTCTTTTAGAAGGCAGTTTCTGCGTAAAACATGACCAATCCAATTAGCCTTCCGTTTTCTTATTTCATGTAGGATATTCCTCTGCTCACTGACTCTAATTAACACTTCTTCATTTCTCACATAATCGGTCCAACTGATCTTCTCCATTCTTCTCCAACACCACATTTCGAAACTTTCCAGATGTTTCTGATCTACTGCCCTAAGTGTCCATGTTTCAGCCCCATACAGAGCTATGCTCCAAATGTAGCATTTCACTAGTTTCTTCCTCAAATTTAAGTCCAATTTGCTGGTAAAAAGATTCTTCTTCTTGCTAAATGCAGCTTTTGCCATGGCAATCCTGGATTTGATTGTCTGTTCTACCTGTAATAATAATATAGTATTTAAGAAACTAATGTGATTGAGGGATCTCTTCTGTGAGTGTTTGCAGATTCCTGCTTTTATTATAGTATGTCCAGCATTTCAGTGTTACTATTATGTGTAGCAGCTTGTTACTTTTAAGTGATGTATGTTAGGGGTTGGTGTTCACCGTCTGTCTGTGTGTGTTTGAGGCTTTGGGACAATATATGCATGCTGCATGGTGTAGTGGAATGTTGAAATATACGTCTCATATCATGCTTATACATGTAGAGGTGACACTACATATCATTAGCTTTTATCAGTAGAATACATCAGATACATAATTAGGCTCTTTTCTCTGTATGTTTTTTACATACTGTAACACTTACCACATTGTATGTTTCTCCAGCTTCCATAGATGGCAATAAATGTTTTTAACTTCCTGGTATAGGCCATCAAGTCTTCTCTGACTTCTCATACTACTTCCATCTCTTTCAAGGTCTTCCTTGGCCTTGGCATCCTTTTGGTTTATACTCTAGAAAGTATTTTGGAATTCTTCCATCAGTTTTTCTGTCCAGACAATTTGTCTGGTTTTGTCTTTAATCATCTATCTCATTTTGTACTGGTCGTATTTTTAACTCTTTCCTAATATCTTCATTCACAGTTCAATCTCATGTGCCCTTAAAGTGCTGCTTCCCATATCACAGAATAGGCAGCGATACTGCTATATAAAATTTCTGCCATATTTCTTTCCTTGTTTTTAATTTTGATGTTTCTTCATAAAGCATCACATAATCCCTCATATGTATTGAGTGTGTATAATGTATGTTATTCTTCGCAGGTTATTGTTTTGTTTGTTTATTATTTATTTAACAATAGGATGATCAATCAATATGAAACAGTTGGTGGAATGAAAATTGGCAGGGGAAACAGAAGTACTCAGAGGAAACCTGCCTCAGTGACATTTTGTCACTCATAAATCCCACATGACCAGACCTGGAATCGAACCAAAACCGTGCAGTGGGAACGAGGCAACTGAATGCCTGAGCTATGGCATGGTCTTCACATTATTGGAATGAGATATCTGTTCCAATGTATCTTACAGTCTTTATTGTCTGCAGTTGAGGCTACAGTAATTTGTATGATAAATCCTTCTGAGCTCATTATTTCCCCTTTATGTTGCTCTTCTCTGGCAGCCCAAAGCTCCTGTTCAGTTTCCTTCCTTGTGACATCTTTCCCAGCCCATTGCTCTCACCTTGGTTTTGATCTTCCGTTTGTGCACTTTCTGTTGGTATCAAACTTCAAACATTCTTCAGGATTCTGTCTTCATTCATTCCTATTATAATACAACAAAGAGACAGGCATCCTGTTGATAAACCAGCTGATGGATTCCCTCCACAAAAGACTCCCTAGACTGCTGCTGGTACCACTGTGGCCTTGTCGTCTTTGTATCACCCGAGCTCACAGCCTGACTGTGATACTGATGTTACTCTCATGGTGCAGCACAGTTGTGAAACCCTCTGGAACCTTCGTACCACCATCAACAGAAAATGTCCCACAAGGAGTGTGAGTCCTTGTGAGCATGGTGGGACATTTTCTGTTGATGGTGTACAGAACACACTTGAACCATCTGTCACTGTGTGACTTCCATGTGTGTCACTCCCTCAGGACATCAGTAAGGCCTGTAGATTTGGGTTGGCTCAAGATATTGAGGCTGTGGCAGTGCAGTGGCCCAGAATCCCTTGGCTGGTGCATCAGTGGGATTCCTGCCCCAGTGCCTGTGGAGATTATTTTTACCATTTCATTTCAACAAGCCTGATATTTTAACTCAGTTCCTCATTTGTTCAGATATCCCAGTTTAAACTTTGTTCTTAATTTTGTGTGTTATGTTTAACATGTGTGTGATGTGTGTACAACTTACAATTTGCCAGCATATTTTAACTCGCCATGATGAGCTGAGAGAGCGAGCTCGACAATTGCTGGAACAGGCACGAAGAGAAGCAGCTGCCCGTGGCATTAACTCTCAAGTGACAGTCCAGTCGCCAGTCAAGGTGAGATCACCGTGAGCCGTGTGAAACATGTGCTAGTGTCATAAAGCTGTCTGTATGCTGTGCCGTGTTCCCACTGCTGGGCAGGCCTGCCATTATTCCATGAAAATTGGATTCTTAATTTACTAAATTTGAAATAACAAGTGGATAGCAGTTGATAGTTGATGTAGGTGTTGGCTCTATCAGGCTTCTCTAAGCTGCACTTAAAATTTATCTTTATTTTTGTGAAAACTCTAGGAGACAATTACTTATATGTATGCAGTGGCAACAGATTGTCACTTGATGGGATTGGAAATGGCATGCAGTAACCTTCAGTTGATCAGATGATGGGATTGTTACTGAATATGTTTAGGAATATAAGAATGTGATATCCCTGTCTGTTTCCCCATTTTGCAACTCATGAGGTCCAGACTTGTGAAGATGTTTCGAAACACTTCTACAATTTCTCCCTTTGCTTTCAACTGATGTTTTATTCTTCCATTATCAGTTTTCTTCTGCAAAAAGGAAGGGAGGATATAATAAAATAGTTACTCTTAACATTATGGTATTCTGGGATATAACACCATGTAGTCTGGTAGACAGTACTGATACCGTTGTTTTGGACTTCATGGGGTATGAGTGAGAGTCGTTTCTCTTCAAGATATCAAGTACATTGCCACTGTATCAGTTCTGTGAGAGCTGATGGTAAGACTGTTAAAAGAACTTGGTTACCATGTGTAGAACATTACAAGAGATGCCATAACCACAAAGTGAATAGTGTGCAAGTTTCTTGTTAGCCTCTCTTTGCCTGCTGTGATGCCTCTTCGCCAGTTCTCCCCCCCATCTTTGGCATGCGGCAGTGTGTGCTTGATGTCTGCTGCAGTCAGGACAGCAACTGTGGTTTCTGCTGTTTGCAGAAGCACAGTGCTTCATCATACACACTTATGTCTTCTGGCTTGTGGCACTCAGTAGTCTTGCAGGCATGTACCAGTGTTTGGGCAGATTGTGGGATGTCGATGTTCCAAGAGACAAACACGTAAAACTATAACATTTGTATATATTATTCTCAAATGTACAGAATGGCTGGGAAGCCGTTTCAATATATATATATATATATAGTTCACAAGTTTGCGGGCCCTGAGAAGGGCCGTTTGCTCCACCATGTGTATGCTAGTACTAGTGTGGGCCTTCCTTTACGGTCACTAAGCGGTTACAAGCAGGCAGGATAGTGGCGAGCCTAGCTAAATAGTCCGGTCCTTCTTTATGGCCACTCAGCGGTTATGAGTCGGCGTGAGAGTGGAGTCTAGCTGGGCTGGCACTGCAGTGCATGTGCTGGTGTAGTCTGCTGTCTCAGTGTTGATTGCTGGAGAGCTGCTGCTTCGTGACGTCAGCATAGCTACGTTAGCTGTGTTCAGCAGAGTGAAGACGATTGAAGAAGAACTGATCATAGCGAGTTTTGAGCCCTGCCTTTATACCATGCTTGCTGAGCGGAGCTAGAGGTGCAGTTGTGATTGTGAGCACTGATTGGCCAGCACCCACAATTATCTTCTGGTGGGCCAGACAGTGAGTGCTCTATAAATACGACTGTTGGTCACAATGTGACATTGACTTGGCTTGGGCAGAAGTTAAATATTGTCTGTTAGACCGGCTAAGCTGCGTGTTAGAAAGTGGGATGTTCCCACAAGATCATACTGCTTCTGTCTTCAGGGTCAAAGAGATGTTAAACAAGCAGACCTTTGCCACCGTTGGTTAGCTCTGGGTTTCTCTCAAGGCCTATATCTGAACCTGATTTTCCTTGTGAGACTCGCTGTCTGTGCCAGTTGCATACCATCTCTTTGACCTTGAAGACAGATGCAATGCATGCTTCCAGAACTTGCGTTAACTTGTACATCACCTTGTGGGCCCATCAACAACTCCTGTCGGCACAGTTGCGTAGCTAAACTTGAATACATTTTTTTATAACTGTTCCACCAAAAAATGCAGCCTGGTATAGTAAAATATATACAGTAAATCCTTGCTAACCTGCTTGAAGTTATTTCATATGTTGGATAATCCAGATCGAAATATGAAAAATGAAAAACGCTCTTCACAGTCGAGTACATACTTTAAAAAGACACATGGTATTTAGGAAGGCAGATGAGTAACTTGTCTGTTAAGACAGTTTCTTCAAACCTAAAACAAGTACAACTTCTGAGTCTTCTGTCGATGAATAAATGTATTATCTTTTTATAATTTTTTAATTAAGGCTGTACAATTATATTTTATTTTATTTATTTTCATCATCACTATTTATATAATTAAATTTACCATTTATTTGTATTCTAAGTTCTTTTGCCTTTTAGGGCTACCTTTTGCTTCACTAATCCAGATGGCCACTTCCTCCCCCCCCCCAGTTACGCCAGATTAGCGAGGGTTTATTGCATGCAGTGTAAAATGTTTGTTTAATGAAGTTGTACAGATTCTAGGTTATCTTTTGAACGGTAAAACTACTGTCATCTGAGATGTGACACCATGCAGTCTGCTAGATTGGTAACAAACAGTGTTCAGATGGACTGTTTCTCCCTTCTTGAAGCATACTTCTCTGGAATGTTGATGCTGATGTGCCACAGTACACAGTGTCACATCTCAGAAGACTATAATCTTAGTATTCACTCTCCAGGATCCTCAAATCCAGTTTCTGATCAGGCTGATCTAGCTGATCAGCTTGAATTTTATTCAAGACATAATTTGTTTTTAGGTATATTTAAGAAATTGCCCCATTCTTACCATCAGGTGTAGGCTGTAGATTCCTGCTTGGTTGAGATCATTGGAAGGATCACTGAGCTTCTGTCAAGTTGTGTATTTTAAATGTATATCAGACAATGGATAGTGCCCAGCATAATATTTGTATAATAAGCAGATTGTTGTCACCAACATCTAGGGGATCATTGTACTGAACATTATGCGCTGGGCAGTCGTACATACCATACTGTGAAGTGACAACCCATTCTTAAATCCAAATTTATAATTTATAATAAAATTATTATATGTAGGTAAGTCAATAAGTAAGTTACAAATGGATATAGAACTTAAACAAACAAGAGTACTGATTTGAAAAATGCCTTTATTTCTCAACATAATCTCCCTGTACATTGAGGCACTTGTCCCATCGTTTCACAAGCCCCTGAAAACCAGCAACATAAAATTCTTTGGGCTGCTGTCGGAACTAGGTGGTGACTTCCCTACAGAAGGGTAAGTATAGACACTATAGCCATTGCTATTGGTTGTTCACACAGCATGGTGTACCTCATAATGCACGACAGGTTAGGTTTTCACACAGTCTGTGCATGATGGGTGCCATGCATGCTGACCCCACCACAAAATGCAAAGAATGGGTCTGGCTTTACAGCATCTCAATCACTACCACGATGAAGGACACGATATGCTATCCCGAACTGTCACAGGTGATGAGTCTTGCTACAAGTGACTTCCATTTGTTCGGCCCTCTTAAACATCATCTTTCGGCTGAACATTTTCCCGATAATGAAGCTATACAAAGGGAAGTCACCGCCTGGTTCCGACAGCAACGCAAAGAATTTTATGGTGCTGATTTTCAGGGGCTTGTGAAACAATGGGACAAGTGCCTCAATGTACAGGGAGATTATATTGAGAAATAAAAGCATTTTTCAAATCAGTACCCTTATTTGTTTAAGTTCTGTATCCATTTGTAACTTACTTATTGACTTACCCTTGCATATAAACTGTCATTGCTCTGACTTGAACTGGTCAAAGAGACTTACTGAACAAACAAAACAATACTGAATCATATTGTATAGTAATAGGCTTTTCTGCTTCGTATTTGGGAGAAACTGGGTTTGTTTCTTAGCCAATAGGCCTACTTTCCTGACAGGTTCTTCTGTGGTTTTACTGCCCCTTCAGGCCAATGCTGAGATATTGCATAGTCCAATATCCCAATTTGCCTGTGGTGTGGAGGCCATATTACAGCTGTGTGTGGCAGGGGTACAGTGTCCACTCTGAGGAGGGATGTACAGGACTATGTAGAAAGGAAGCCAGGAGAAGAAGAGTATGGTGGAAAATAGGAGTTTGGAAACTGAAAGGGGGGGGGAGTTAGGAGGAAGAGTGAATACAGGATTCACCATATATGTAGCACAAAATGATATTGAGCCACATACGGAGGTGTGAAAGAACAGAGCTGCTAAGGAGGTTTAGGAATATCGATGCATATAAATAGGCATTAGGTGGACAGTAGGATGCGAGAATAAGGAGTAGTGGCAGAAAGTAGGAATATGTATGACTACATATAAAGAGGAAGACTGTGCCATAGTTAAGACGGTCAGTCACTGGCTTCCCACAGTGGAGGCCCGGGTTCAATCCCAAGTCATGTCATGTGGGATTTATGGTGGACAAAATGGCATGGGGCCAAGTTTCGGTTTCCCCATCCAGTTCCTGTCCCACTGATCATCATCTATCATCTGGGACTGGTACAGTAGGCCAAGTAGTGGCTGGTCTCACCCAACCCCAAGAAACTACAGAAAGAGCAACAAGAGAGGACGCTAAGAAGTGCAGGAGTGAGACAGAACTCAGTTGAGATGACCAGTGGTCATAAGGGGTAGCAATACAATATGTGCTGCAGGAATAGGAACTTAAGTGAACTGCTAGAATGCAGGACCAGATTCAGACTCTGGCACCCCGGAGTGTAAACTGTAGTGGACCTAAGTGTGCCCAATATGGGAGCACCAACCTCAGACATAAATTGTGCACTCTGGCCTCAGTGAGCAGAAGCCAGAAAGGTCAACACATATCATATCTGGAGGCACCAGACAAACAAGAAGTCTGAGGCGTCCTGTTGTTTCACTTATGGTGTTGTGCTGTCTGTTGCTAAATGAATGGATGAAATGAAAAAGTTAAATAGGACNTCCCAGAAGACTGCGTTCTTCATAGTCACCGCCGTGAAAGCCTCACATCTTACATTGTTAAGATTTTCTTATTTCAATTATTCATGCCCTTACATGTTTCAGTCTTCAGAGGGAAGCCTTTACATCAATACAGTTAGAAGCCACTATTCCAGTACATGTTCTGAAAGTTAAAATGTATACATACAATATAAATAATATGCAATTGGCTGTAAAATCTAATGTCTTTACAACTACAGCGGCCGTTCCAATACTTTAAAATATTTATAGTTAATTTGTTAAGAGTCTACTGGAATTCGTAAACCAGGTTCGTGTCGTCTCTCTTATTATTTCTTTTGATGGGAACTGGATGTGTGCCACCTGTCGTTCTCGAGAAGAGGGTTCTTTAATGTTGTCCTGTATGTGTTTGTGGCCCGCTGTGTTGATTTTACTAGACAAGTACACCAAGAATGGAAATAAATTTTATCACCAAGATAAGATAGAGATGCAGGTCCCCAGTTCAATGCAGCATGGTAGCGCTGAGTGATAAGATGGTCAGTGAATAATGAATTGGAAGGGTGTGGAAGGAGATGGTCATTTCCTAATTACAGTAAATTTAGTTCAGGTTAGCGGTCTTGAGATCAAGGTCTGAATTTGAAACTTCTGTATACAAAGGAGGATTATGTATCACTTTACCACTGTGTTTGGTTAAAGTCACTAACAGCAGTTGGTCAAGTGGTCAAGAAATTCCTCTTCATCTCTGGAATCCAGATGTTTATTACTATGTTTATAAGAGCCCAGCACTGGTATTTATTTAGTTGGATCCGTGGCACATCTCCCTATCCTGCTTAAATCATTTCAGTTTTATCTTCCAGTGTATGCCTAGATCTAGAGAGGCCATCTTGTTTTCTGTTGTTGCAGCTAAAATGTAAACATTTGAAATCTCTTCCATGCCTTTGCTACATACCCTGCCACTCTGTTCCTGCTTCACCTGATCACCAAAGATATTCTACAAATTGCAGCTTGAAATAAAAAACGAATTGCCTAAGACCACCAGAATTTAGAGCTGGTAGGAAAAATCTTAAAAGTGTCACCCAAAAGGAAGAAGCTCTATGGGAGGACTCAGTAGTCTTACTGCTGTAAAGGTGATGATGATGATGATGATGATGATGATTAGTAGAAGATTTACTATTCACCAGCGTACTGTCAGATATTTGTTACTCATTCTGTTCATTTACTCCTTGTCTCTACTATTCCCTGAGAACTTTCCCTCCTTTACAATTTGTGCCTATTCGTCTCTGTTATTTGCATCCATCTTGTTGCTTTCAGCTGTCATGATTGATTTAATGCTCTTGTCCTGAGTAAACTTATTACATTCCAAGTAAGAAAATATAACCCATCCTTATAACCTTTTCTTAACCGTTTCTTAAATTCTCCGCCCACTATGTGTCATTGAGTTTTTAATTTCTATGGGCCCCACTGTCAACCCCAACATGTAGGACCAGGGGCTACTTTTCATCTGGCCCCTCCTCTTCTTGCACCCCCCCCACCCCCCACTGGCATAGCTCTCCAGGCATTCTGGGCACACAGAGCTCCCCACCACATTAGGGTAGTAGCCCACGGGGAGGAACTCTTCTGTCTGCCACAATAATTCTGAACAATGGAAATTGGTTTAACATTTTGTGGTGCAGTTCATAGAACACGTGTGTACAGTAATAATTTATTGTGTTCCAAAGTGTGAAGAGGAGCGGCAGCAGCAACTCCGGGAGCGCGCAAGGAGACTGATCGCAGAAGCAAGGATGGGTGTTGTCGGGACACAGACACTGCATTCTGATCAAGGAAGAGGCTCTAGTAAGTTAAATAGTTAGAAACTCACACTGCTGACTGCATATACTGTCTTCTGGTATGTGGTACTATGTATACTTCTGCTCTGTGAATGTGCGTGTGTATACATCTTATGATGTAGGTCCTATGTTGTCTTTACAAATTTAACTGCACCGTATTTCCAGCATACTTCTGGTATTTATATCCTGGTAGGAAGTTTGGGCATGCTTACACAGGACATTCTTCCACAAGGTTACATGCACAAGTGACGACATACCTTGGTTTGTAGAGCAGATGGGCTTTAGTCTGGTAGATACCAATCTGGTATCAGTGGAGATTCTTCAGCTTCACGCACTCAGGTCCTTCCTGTGCAGTGAATATCCTATAACTGAACTCTCTCAATTCGCATTGAGCCAGCCTGAGGTCCTTATTATATAGCCCCAGGATGGACCCAACAGAAACACCAGCCCCACCAGTTCCTCTGTTCTTATTATGGGCAGCTGCCAAGCAATAGTCTGGATATTGTTGACATATATGCCTGCTGTTACCAAACAGCGTATGTTCCTTCTCATGATCATCTTATAGCAACAGTGCTACACCCTATAGTAGCATGAAATATCTTAACTGTGCTTAATTTTATTATGTATAAGTAATGTATCATTGTGATTGCAGTACACAGTGTGTCCATTAAAAATACAATACGTGAATTATTTTCAAAATTTCACTCTTTTTATTCAAAATGGTCTCCTTCTAAATCAATACGTAGCTGGAATCGATTGAAAAGTTTTTGAAAACGGTAACTGTACTCCTTTTGTGGAATCACATTTAAAACTGTGGTGCATTCCCTTTGGATATCCTGGATGGTGTTGTGACAGTCTCCTTTCATCACCGACTTAACTTTTGGGAACAACCAGAAATCTGCTAGAGCCAAATCTGGCGAATATGGAGGATGATCAAGGACTATGATCCCTTTTCTGGCCAAAAAATTGTGCATGATCTTCGATTTGTGGGGTGGGGCATTGTCATGGAGGAGCGACCAGGAACCTTGCTCTCAATATTCAGGTCGAATTGAAAGAATTCTTGCCCACAAACGATTGAGGACTCTGAGATAATCAGAATTCACTCTTTGACCTTCTGGCAGAAATTCCTTGTGAATGATTCCTTTGGAATCGAAGAAAACGGTTAGCAGTGTCTTTACTGGACTCTTTTGCATGCGGACTTTCTTTGGTTTCGACTTCTTTGGGCTCAGTCACGCTGCACTCTGCCGCTTTGTGAGAGGCTCATATTGAAAACACCATGTCTTGTCACCAGTAACAATTGATTTTGTAAATTTTGTATCACTTTGGGCTGACCGTAACTTGTCTTTGAAGTGTTCCACTCTGGCATGTTTCTCATCGCCTGACAGCACGTGCGGTACAAACCACGCACAGACCTTCCGTTTGCCCAAATCCTTGGTCAAAATTTGATGCACAGTACTTTTTGGTATTCCCAAAAGTTCCTCTATAAGTCTTGCAGAAACACATCTGTCTGATGCAAGGATTTCGGTCACTTTTTTCACATTTTCTTCAGTGCGACTTGTTCTCGGCTTTGATGCACATGGAGCATCTTCAGTGTCCTCCCTGCCATCACGAAATACAGCATACCATCGGAAAATGTTAAAGTGACTCAAAGAATCACTACTGTACACACTTTCCATCATTTCATATGCTTCTCCGGCTATTTTGCCTAACTTCAAACAAAATTTTATGTTGGCTGTGTGTTCAACCGCCATTTTCCAACGAGCGTCAGAACAGTACTGTTACATTCAAGGTCAGAACACATGATGCAGCGATGCTTGCTCTTTGAAATTATAGACAGCCACAGCTGAAACTTCAAGAATCTTAATTCCACAACTTGCCAACAGATGGCATTGGAGGGGGGGGGGAAAAAAAAACGAATCCTAAAGGATCCTGGACACACCGTGTATTTAATAAAAATGTGATTACAGTATCATGTTTTATGAATCTTAACATTGTGAAAAATGTCTTCTTTGAAATCATCACCAAGGATTTCACACTTGTTATGTTACCAGCAAATACAGGAGCACTGAATCCATTTTGCTGTCATGTTTGTCTCCAAGTCATATGCGTAATTCCATCCGCATATGGAACAGGTAATGTTGTTATCGTTATTCCCCATTGTCTTTTCAGTGCTCTGTTTAGTGCTCTGGATGTAGGTCTTGTCATGGAAACTTGACCGTCTTCAGAATTTATGGAAGAAGAACCGCACTGGCAGGCCACAGGAGGGGCCAGTTTCATGGTTCTCTGAAGGGGACGTGACATTGTCTTCATGCAAGTCATGCGCATATTGGATGTGTCACGGGTGGAAATGTTTAGGATGAATTCATGTTCTTAATTATTTCACTTTGATTTCTGTCAGAAACCTTAGAAGGTAAAGCTGTTCCTGTAACTGGCTTTGGCGGTCCGCAGGGTTGTGAGATGTTGAGGCTCTCACATTTTTTAGACAGACAGCTCACAGATGATTGTGAAGTTGTCAGCCTTACACACTGGCCACCCTTTACCCCCAGAAAGATTTGTGGTACTCATTTCTGTTAGAGGCTGAGTCGACTCAGGGCCATAGTGTGGCTGGAAGGTTTAGGTCAGTTGAAGAATCCGAGGACCTCATTTGGAATTGAACCTGTGACCTTCCAGCCTCAAGCAACTATACTACCGTGTTCCCCCCAGAAACTGTAGAGGGTGCTGTTGTTATCTCAGGAGTAACACCACTCCTTGAGTGATACCTGATTTTTTGGAAACCAGCATCTGTGACTTTCTGGGTTAAACCTGTTGGTGGTCCCATGTTTCTGTGCTAAGCTATGTGCTAGGCTTCAAACATAAAACTCTCTAAGTCCGAAACAACTTTCCTGAATGTGCATCATGTAGTTTGTAAGTCAGAAGAGAGAGCAGATAGTCTACAAATTTTCCCAATTGCAGGCTTCTTCAGATCGTTGCATTGAATACCAAATTTTGACTTGTCTTGACAACAATTTCTTTGAGTGTTGGCCATGAAGCTTTATAGTTCCTGGAAGCTCTGCAGAGAGTGGAGTCCTCTGGTAGAAGTTTCCTAACAGCTTCTTCAAGTGTTCTGCTGTCATGTTCCTTAGAGGAGGCATGCTTATTTGCTGCTGCTTTACCATATTTTTTGTCTGCTCCGCTATTTCATTATAGGTTAAAAACAAAATAGATTAAAATGGTTGTTAGGTAAAGGAGGGTAATTGTACTATCAAAATTTTTGGAAAGGGTACCACACTGACCAGAAAAAACAAATTGAACTGAGGTATATGGCTTTAACATATTTATATCTCTACTGATTTAAAAACAATGTGTATTTTTTAAATAGGTGATAATATATTTTGTTTCTTTAGGCATTTTTGCAACAGCAGGAACAATGTAAACTAGTGTGATGATTTGACACATGATATTGGAAATTCTTCTGCTGTTCCATGGTTCCATAAGAGCCTACCGTACGAGAGACGTCTCAGAAAGTACAGTATGCAATCATACTTAGCACCTCACAACAAATAAAGAAATTGTAAAATTTAAAGGCAAGCTACTTTTCCATGGGTTTATTCCAGAGAACAGAAACAGGCACTTGTCAGGCTTGCTGTTGTACCCTGAAGATGAGGCAGTAAGTTCCCATGGAACGTTGATGAACATTACCAGACTGTATAACATTTTATCGCAGAAGGTAGTACTCGTTTTTGTGAGATTAGCCACTATCATATCTATTTATATGCAGTATATTGAGCATAGTTTTGCTTGACGGGATGTTTTTGAAAAACCACAATGATTTCATGTCAGATATGCTTCAACAAAGTAAGGGTTTGTTAAAAGTGCAATGAACTCATGTTGTGAATGTGTGTGTGTGTGTGTGTGTGTGTGAGAACAAAGATTTTCAATGGATATATGGAGCTGGGAAGCCATCTACTTCAAAAAATACTTTGCACCATGTACAACATGTTATTATTGTAAGTAGGTGAAAGAAATATAGTTCTAGGCATAAAGTTTGGTGTACTTGTGATGAAAATATAAGACCATGGATATGTAACACATTTCAAGATTCTTGCACAAATGAATCTGTGGTTTAATAATACAGGAAATACACTGAATTATAGAGCAGACATTTCTTTAAAAAAATCCGTTTTGTTTCATGGTTATTGAATGTATAAATTTGTAAGTAAAATCGTGCACTGTTACTACAGATGCTGGCATTTACGAATAACTTTGGGCCTTAAACCTTAACCTCACACTGTCCGATGGTAATCCAGTGAAAATCACAGTGTCATGTTCGATGCTGATGTCATCTGTATGTTCATGTAACATTTTGACCACGACTAAGGCTAAGGCATTTGTTTCCATGTTCACAGACTTACACACAGTTCCTGCTGACAGTGGAAGCCCTCTGAGCTCTGACCCTTCGTCTCCTGACAGGCTGCAGTCTCCCCTCTCTCCCAGTGACAGGTCTGTCGGAAACAAGGTATTGAACAGTTTGTGGAATTTCTTGTTGTGGTCTTCAGCCAAGCAAGGCAGTTCTATTTGTACCACTCCTGATTCAGATCTTCACCAGATCACCAACTATTCAGACTGACGGTTTTTGTGGTTTTCCTCAGTGCCTCCAACCAAATGCTATCTCATTATCTCAGATCAGGCCACAACAGCTTTTACATCGTTTTCAGTTGACCGTTCTGTAGTCATTCCCTGTGTCAAGGTGGGTTAGAATACCTACACCATAGCCCTACGAGTCATAGGAGACGACAAAAAGGGAACCCAGTGCCTGGGGTAAAACTGGGCCACCCTGTCACTATGATGATGATGATGATGATGATAGTGGTGGTGGTTGNGGTTGAGATGATGATGATGATGATGATTATTATTATTATTATTAATATTATTCTCTAATCTTCTAGCCATTTGGTGTTGTATAATGTGGGCAGTTAACAGTATTGTTTTATAAACCATGAATATATGGTTAGAAACCATTGAATTGAATTGAATTGAATTGAATTGAATTGAATTTATTTACATTCTATAAATCCTAAGCAGGTTAGTACCTTTGGATACAGAACAAGTCAAAAGGTTACATACATAAGTACAGGCAATTTTAGCTTAAAAATTAATATAACTTAATTTTACATCATTCTCTATTTACATTGAAGTATTCATCTAAAGAGTAGAAGGAATGAGCATGTAGATAATTCTTTAACTCTGATTTAAACTTTTTAGTATCATTGCCCAAGTTTTTAATACTTTGTGGCAGATTGTTGAACACTTTTA